TTGAATTTGTCTCACAGTATTTTTCCCCTCCTGGCAAAAAACAAAAACAAAAATAAAAACACCTTTGTGTACATTTTTGAGGTCATGGTGTTGTGGGGGAAAATGAGGACTTGGTGCTAGTGACCAGATGTTAACTTATGACTGTATCAGTTATATGTTCATAGCATGTCTTAATATGTCCTTGACCTCTCAATTGTTTGAGCCTAAACAGAAGATTTGAGCTACATATACTGTCAGTTTTAACATTCCAAACTTGTAATATATTTTGTTATTTCTATCTCAGCCTTTCCCAGTAATACCTAGTTGGATTGCTTAAGAGTCTGTAACTTCACAGTGGATAGAAGATATGTGGTTATCTGGGGAAGAGTTCATGTCAGCCCTCTTGCTCTCTGTGAAAGTGTTAGCATTGTCTAGGGACATATACCTCCTTCTCCAGCCCTCACTGCCCTCTGTTGTCATCCTCACTCTTGCCAAATCTTGATAGATAAAGTTCATACCATTTTTCATACCTCCTGTTTTTACAGCTTATACTTGTAATGTTATTTGGGACCATGGAAGATCAGAACTTATTAAGTCTGCATCAGGGAACTCTTCAAGTCCTGCAGGTCAATTGTTTATCTAATCAAAGCACTTCTGTAGGTCTCTTGCTGAGCTGGGCATGCCTCACCGTAATGCAGAAATCCCTTAGAGCCATTTTTCTTGCATATCTATGTTGGGATACAGTATATGAAATTGTTGTGCTGGTGTATATTCATTTCTATAACAATAAGAGGTTGAAAATGTCTTTTTTTCATTAGAGAATTACTTTTACTAAAACAATGTGTTGTCAGATGCATCATTTCTATGGTGTTATAAGTAATTCTGTCAACTATGCTATTTCTCTCACTAAGAAAATGATTTTTAGTAGAAGTTAATTTCCAAGTGTTGGAAATTAACAGTAAAACTTGGTGTCTTATACCTAACCTCCTGCAATCTTCCACATTCGTTGGGTGGTGAGAAGTCAGTGAGTACTGTTAGGATTCATTATTACAATTTTATTTAGAAGTGGTACTTCAGTGTCTGCTCTACAAATTGTTAGAATCAAAGTTTAAAGTGTTTTTCTCTCCTGTCTTTGCAAATTATCAAACATTGCATGACAACGATAGTCCAAAACACCCTACAAATACTATGACTAGGTACAATCCTGGCTTGAACAGAATGGCCAGTTAGTATCGTACACTCAGAAAGTTCATAAGGGATGAACCTGTGTCTAAGAGGCACAGCTAGGTGTGGAGAGTCTGAGAAGCAATAAGAAAAGAAATGGACTTAAGAATTCTCCATTTATCTGTCTAGCATATGTAACAACAGGAGTTCAGTTCCCAGCACCATATGAAAAGGGTCGAGCCTAACCCAACAGCTACCCATTCAAAGCATGAAGTAAGAGTAAAAAGGAGTTGAGTAGTGTGAAAATTTTTCTCCTTAAAACACAAAATACAGTCAGAGTAGCAAGCCTGGCCTGCCAGCTGTTTCTTACTAAACACTGAAAAGCTAGTGCTGTGCCTTGAGAATGCTTAAGCCTGTCTTTTTTTCTCGCCATACACCTTGTAAGAGGATGCTTAAAAACTGTTTGTATTCACTTAATTGACTCTGGCTGATTCTGTACCAAGGTTAAAAAGAGAAACTCAAGTTGGTTTCTGGTTGAAGAATCTCTTTGGGAGTTACACAACAATGATGTTAAGTTCAAATTGAATTAAGTTGACATTTAGAACTCTATTATTCCACAGGTTACTCTACTCATTTTCATCTGTATCTTTCTAATTCATACTTGTAAAATACAGTCTTTATATCTTCACTTTAAAAATACTTTTCTGACATTACTGGGGTTTGAATCTAGGGCCCTCTCCATGCTAGACAAGTGTTCTACCACAGAGATAGATTCACAGCTCTTTATTTTAAGATATGGGTCTTACTAAGTTAATTAGGCTAGGCTTGAACTTGCAATCTATTATTCTGGAAGACCATCCCCTATGAGGCTATAAACTACCAGTCACCCCTCTGTCTCTCTTCATGGAATCCATCTAGAATCCACTGACTCTTATTAGGAAGAGGTTTTAAGTGACAGCTGATCTAGCCTCTCAGTGCAGCGTTGAAACCTTTCAAGGAATATGCCAACAAATTGTGCTTAAGGTGCTTAAATGAATTTGGGGGGGTTGGTTTTTGTGTTTTTGTTTTGTTTTGTTTTTGTTTTTTTCTGTTTTCAAGACAGAGTTTCTCTGTGTAGCCCTGACTGTCCTCAAACTCAGAGATCCGCCTGCCTCTGCCTCCCTGAGTGCTAAGATTAAAGGCGTGCACCACCACCTATGAATTTTTAAAAAAGAGATCTTCCTGGCTGAAAATAGTTTGTCACTGGATTTCTGAGAAGAGCTACTGACCAATCAGAGAGTAGCCAGGAAGTTGTTCTGCAAGTAGTTGACACAGTTGGAGGGGCTTACTTGAAGAAAGAAAGTGCCCATCTTTCTGGGGACTCTGGAGAAAGTTCTGCTGTGGGAATGAAGCAAAATAAAACTTTCTCTCCATGTTCAGTGACACTACTCCTCCTTGTCCTGCGCTTCTAGTCGGCTTCTATTATTAAGAAGTCCAACATCTCTGGGGTGCTCGTTCTAAAGGTATGGTCTCACTGTTGGTGCATGTTGCTCATTATAATGATCTGAGAACCTGAGCGCTGGCATACTTAGAACCAACAAGCTCCTTGCCACAGATACTTACTTGCCACTTGAAAGAATCTGAAGATCTTTTATAGTCTGAGCTTTTAGCCAGTGGAAAAGGACTGCAGAACGAGAATCATGTCAGCCTTCCTGGATTTGATCCCCCTCTCTCTACTGTTTTCTCCCTGCTCATTTGTTCTCTGGTGGTGATGGTGGTTTCAAACCCAGGTACTTACTGTGTTAACCAGTTCACACACACACATACACATACATACTTTGTAAAAAGAGTTAAGAAACTTCAAGGATGCTGATCTAGAAGTCAGAGCTCAGTAACAAGATGTACTTGTTTCTAGGGATGCATGCCCATATTGATTCTCTGGCTTTTAATTTGTTTGGATTCTCATCTAAGTATCAGTGTCTCAAAGAGCTTCTTAAAGCTTTCTGTCTTAGCAAATTAATCATGTCTCTGTTGATAGAAATTTAATAAAGCTCTGATCATATTTATTGTGTTTGCCTAGGAATTTTGACTTAATGGCTGGTGTAGTATTTTATTTGTATCAGGGAGACACTGATCTGTTTGAAATATGCTTTGATAAAATAGAGCAAGAATTGAAATACTTAAATACTCGTTTACAGGCAGCGAGCAAATAATCATGGTATAGCCACACAATAGAAATACCGAATAGCCATTAAAAGAATAAGACAGATTTGTCTATGATAACATTAGGAAGAGAAAACTCAAATCACAAGAATATAATGCAGCCCTGTTGGTGTGACAAAAACAGCAACAAAAGGAACTTAAGGAAAAGCAAACACTATCAGACACAGAAACCTCTAAGGATCCTTGAGCAGCTATAGCTGAGGTTCCCTGGGGGGCGGGGGGACACACGCGGCATGGTTTCTGCACTGCTAGGGTTTGGAGAGATTAAGTCAATCTATACATGTAAAAGGAGTTCTACCCTAGAGAGAATGATTCATGTAAGGAAATTGATCATTTGAAACCAGCTAAAACAGAGAATACTTACATGATGTTTTTACTTTTGAAGCCAGCCTTAAAGGCATGATTTGATGGATCAAAAAAAGTTGAATTTTCAGTCTTTGTATTTGTTTACATTTGTGTGCATAAGACAGAGTTTAAAAGTAAGACAATATCTAAATTCATAGATTGATCGAAACATGGTTGTAAAACTGATGGCACTTAGGAGTCTTAGCACTAACGTAAATGGTTAGCCTTAAAGCTCTGTTCCCTGCTGGGGTTCTTGTAGTAATAGGTGAGAAATGTTGGTTCTCTGTAAACTGGATAGTAATAGGTTAGAGAAGTTTAGAAGTTCATTTGTGTAAAGGGCATTATAAAAAAGGGAAATCTTTTTTGCTCATAGTCAATTAAATTGCCACCTTTTCTACAAAATATTAAATGTCAGGTTTGCCAAATAACTTGCTGGCTTACTGAGCAGTCATCCGTAGCAGCACTGTCTCTGGAGGGAGCTTCCCAATTCAGAAGCCATGTATAGTGGGCAGCCAGTGGAGCAATGGAGTTTTACCTTATTGCTAGAAGTCACAGGGGATGGATGAGGTACACTGTTTCCACTAGAGCATCTGCAAATAGTTCTTGAGGGATGCTTCTCAATCTTTCATTAAAGTGTGAAAGTTAGATTTTTATGTTTCCCGTTATTGGGAATATGATCCTTACATAACTTTTAGCATAGTAAGAATGGTTCATGCTGGAAAGGAAGAGAGAAGCAACACAGGGCTTGCTGGGTAGCACTTGATTATTGAAGCCCTTGAGGCCCAGTAAGGGACATAGATGACATCTGTTAGCCCAATCCATGCTGTTATAAACTGATGCCAAGGAATGTATAAAGAAAAGTGTGCTTGATTTATAACTCTTGTGGCTGGAAGATCTAGATGGCATGATGCCAGCATCTGGCAAGGGGCCCTTGCTGCATCATGGCACGAGTGAGTTCATGTGTGTGACAGAAGGGAAGGAGGCTAAGAGGAGAGGTCATATGGGGGGAGAACAAGAGCGTGAGCCAAAGTGGGACTTGCTTTCAGAAGCTCCCTTGTGATACCAGCCCAGTCTGAGCCCTAACTCACCTCTCTGAAAAGTAGTACCTCACTTGAAGACACATGGACACTGACCCTGGTGACATGAGTCTTGATGGACAGACCAGAAGCAAGCCATTGCAGATAACACTGGGGATGGACTTCTCTCTTTAGGAAAGGGAATTATCCCTTGTGTAGTTATAAGCTGAGTGGGGGCAAGACCATCTTTTAGAAAAAACCTTAAAGTGATGAGCTTTTCTTTGTCTTTTCCAGTCTACTCCGTTACACCTGGCAGCAGGCTACAACAGAGTTCGGATAGTTCAGCTGCTTCTACAGCACGGTGCTGATGTTCATGCAAAGGACAAAGGGTAGGTGCAGCCATGCATCCCTCGCCTTAAGGGTTTCATGGACCGGTGATTGTGCTGTTTTCATCATTTGATCGTCCGAAGGTTTTAGCTCGGTGAGAATGTTCACATGGGGCTGGAGAGGAAGCTCAGCAGTTAAGAGCACCGGCTCTGCTTTCAGAAGCCTGGGGTTTCGTTCCTAGCACAGGGCTGCTCCATCTCACGGCATTCGGTGCCCTCTTCTGACATCTGTGGACACCAGGCACACAGACATGCAATACAGGCATACGTGTAGGCAAATGCCATACTCATATATAATGTTGATAAATTAAAAATAACATTCTCTGTATGTACTGTAGGCTTCTCAAAACCATTTGTTACACCAATTATTTTTCACGGCTATAATCATTTTCATCCCTTAAATTGCATTTCAGAAAGATTTAAAAGTACTGAAAATTGTGATTGTCTAACATTGTAGCTATTAAGACAATTTCCTATTATTAATAAACTATAGTAATAAGTAAATAATTTTTTTAATTTAGTTTTTTAATTCACTTTAAGTAGTTCAATCTAGATGATCCTTATAAACATTGGCACATGAAACAAAAAAGTGTGTCTTTTTTATGAATTGATAAATATAAGCTTACTAATTTCCTTAATTTCCATTGACCTGTGGACATTTGTTTTCTGCCCTATATGAAAAGCTAACATTTCTCTGGCCTTAAGATGTCAAGGATAATTGACCCCACCCAGGTGAGGCAGATTATGCTGGACTTCTGTGATTGACAGCGTAAAGGAGAAATGCCCTAGAGGGACAGATGCTTCTTTGGTTCAGCTCACATTCATGTCAGGAAGCATAGAAATGAACTCAGTACTGAGACAGTTACAAGAAGGAGAATCTGTCTATTCAAATCTGCCCCTTCCATGCTGTCTGTCTCTTGCTGGTCAAGTTTTGTGCCTCCCATGCATCGTGTGTCCCGATATAAGGCACAAGTGCCTGGTGCCCTGATACACCTGCTTCCTCGTGCATGTCTGAAAGCAGATGGGTGTACCATAGGCAGTCATCCAGAAGCACACAGTAGACAAGGTAGCTTCTAACCTCACTTAGAAAGGGCACTCTGGTAGGGAAGCTTTAATGTTTCGATATTTAATTCTTATTCTGGAAAGTGTCACGAGAGTGGATTAAAAGTAGGACTATTTCGGTTCCCTGCCAGTTACTGTGCCCGTTACATACTTATAATTGTTTATTAGTGCACTGGTCTTTCTTTTAATTCTTCTGAATGATAGCTTTCATTATTTCATATAGCATGTATAAAGACTACAAGATAAATGTTAAGGTGTGATATAAGCTATGCTTTGAGTTCTTTGAGTAAATTCTGAAAATGCTTTTTTGGGGAGTGGAATTCGAGGCAGAGTTTCTCTGTGGCTTTGGAGGCTGTCCTGGAACTAGTTCTTGTAGACCAGGCTGGTCTAGAACTCACAGAGATCTGCCTGCCTCTGCCTCCCGATTAAAGGCATGTGCCATGACCACCCGGCTGAAAATGCTTTCTTGAAATGGAATTTATTAGATTTTTTTTTAGCACTTTACAACCAGATGGCTGTTTGGAATTTCAGTATTTTAATTCCCTCTTTTTGTCTAGCGGACTTGTACCTCTTCATAATGCATGCTCATATGGACACTATGAGGTCACAGAACTGCTGTTAAAGGTAAGAGAAACCAAAAATATTGAATAGTATTGGCTTGTCTTTTTTTTAAGCTTGTTAATACTTTGTGGATTTTTTTTAACAAGTAATATTCTTTGACAGTAGGATAATGAATCAGCTATTTTCATTGCTTAAAGACATTGAACTTTCAACTTAAACCTTTTTTTTCTTTTAACCTAAATTTAAAATAATTAAATTCCAAAAGTTATGAAATCCGTTTTCTGAGTTTGTCCCCCTCGTGGAAGTGGTTACTAATGTCACTTTTTCAACTTCAGCATGGAGCGTGTGTTAACGCTATGGACCTGTGGCAGTTTACTCCACTACATGAAGCTGCTTCCAAGAACCGTGTAGAAGTCTGTTCTTTGTTGCTTAGCCATGGTGCTGATCCTACCTTGGTCAACTGCCATGGCAAAAGTGCTGTCGATATGGCTCCAACTCCTGAGCTCCGGGAAAGACTGACTTGTAAGTGTGTGTGTCCTAAGCCCAATGTGGCTAGCCGTAAGTGAGACTATCTCAGTTCTGCTTCATCACCCAGGGTTTCTAACTAGACAGCGTCCCCTTCTTACCTGGGCACTAGTTTATCGTATTCATTTCTGATCATATGCTTTGCTTCGTGTATTCCACAAGCGCCTTTAAAACACACCACCATGTTACACATGTGTGCATATAAACAGCACAGACTATACATACTACATAAATACATAGATATACACAGACATGTATTTTAAAGCCCGATTCTAATTAATTTGTCAAGGCTTCTGTTTTGGTTTGGTTTGGTTTGGTTTTGGAGTTTTTTGTTTTGTTTTGACAGCTAAGGATGAGGTTCATCAACAGCCATTTAGTCAATATTTTCCTGTGTGACAGACAATAGAAATACAATAGTATACAAATCAAAACAAAAGTCTCTGGGCTCACAGAACTTATATTCGTCTGCCATTGGTAATGAAAGGTGATGCTGAACATTAACTGTCCATCTCCAAAAAGTTGCACAGTCGTGTTTTTGTTTACATGTGAGTGTTAAGTCCCAAATTTAAGTGAGATGTTTGATGGACATAGTCTTCATAAATATTTAAATATATATATTTATATTTAAGGAAACTATGAGTAGTTTTAGATGTGCAGAAAGTTTATATAGCCAGCACAGAGAATTCTCACCTCCAGCATATCTAGGTTCCTATATTACTAACATTTTACATTACTGTGGCCCATTTATCACAGTTAATAACCCATTGTTAACTAAAGGCCACACTAACTAGATTTTGCCTAGAGTCACCCTTCTGTTTGGGTCTCATTCCGGTCACATTGTATGTAGTGTTACAGCCAATCCTGACATGCCTGCAGTTTTCCATGTGGGCATTGGAGATTTAAGGTAAGCTAGGTAACTCCCACCTAGCTTTAGCTTGCCCTGTGGTCTGCCTGAAGCCTTGCATGTAGGAGACTAAGAATCAGAAACCAAAGAAGAGTGCTCAAAGTGATGCACATCTTTTATCTTGAAGTAGCTTTTGAGCTAATTTTTATAGAAAGAGTGCAGTTCCTAAAATTTGAATCACATGTGGAAATTGAAATTTATTTGTATAGTCAGACTAGGTTAGATTTTCACCAAGTGTGAGCCCAGTTATGAGCCTTTGTGAGCCTTTGCCGGACCCCACTCATTCACTCCTGTTAGGTAGCTATATTGGATTATATAGTTTATTTTCTACGTATTCGAGCTTCCTTCGAAAAATGTAAAAAAAAAAAAAAAAAAAAACAAATGACCTTGGACACCTGTGCTGTCCCTGGTATCGGTCTCTGGATCATATGTCTCTATCTAATCCCAACCTAGTGTAGTGCTTGTGTATGCTGTATGTTCAGCAACTTTAGCCATCTGAATTTGACTCTGCGTAAAACTGAGAATACTGTTTCCTAATTTACTTCTTTATGTGATGGCTCATATTTATCCCTGTGTCATCCTTGTCCTTTTATTCCGCTCTCAACCATTTTATAAATTAGGAGTTTTATTAGACATCTAGACATTCTGTATTATTAGGTTGTCTTATTCTATTGTAGACGTCAACTTTACCTAAATTTTGGAAGCTGTTTTTAACCTTCTTATTAGGAGTTTTCATTAAATAAGATTCTACCAAGAATTATGTTGAGGGAAGGATTGAAGGATCTTCTCTAGCTGCAGTTTTAATGTCATGTTTACTGCTTTGTAGTTGGTGTTCAGTTACAGAATTTTTTTAAAGAAAATTATCCAGGAGGCTTGAGAGATGGCTCAGTGGTTAAGAGGGCTTTCTGTGCATCTATAAAGAGCTGAATTTTTGTCCCAGTGCTCACATAACAAGCCAGGAATGTTTTGCAGGCTAGTCCAGCCTTTAATTTGTAATCTCCCTGCCTCAGCCTTCCAAATCCTGGGACTACAGGTTTGCAAATTACACCTTCCAGAGTTAATTATAACTTAAAAACCTATATGTCATTTTTATTTGATAACTATTATTTCATTGGCAGATGAATTTAAAGGCCATTCTTTACTACAAGCAGCCAGAGAAGCAGACCTGGCCAAAGTTAAGAAAACACTTGCTTTGGAAATCATTAACTTCAAGCAGCCACAGTCTCATGAAACAGCATTGGTAAGATGGCATTACCCATACATCCCTGGGTCGGTAATAGTGCAACATTAAATAATGCTTTTCATTTCAGAAACCTGAAAGTGGATTGCTCTGGGAAGTGCCAGCAATTTGCATTTTAATATTGGTTGCACTGATTTTTAACTTTGGTTCAGTCATGATTCTTTGTGGGTGAGAGACTAGATATTTGCTCAGTCATGATGTAGACTTGTTTTATCTCTGTGTTCACCCAAGCTTATTGTGACAAATTACTTTTGTGCTCAGTGCTTTCATTATAGTGCAAAGTGTGATCTGAGAGAATCTTCTCTTTAGGAGCATGCTTAACTAGATAAATAGTATATCTGTTTTCTTTAGAAAATATGGTTTCATGATATTTGCATCATCCTTTGGAGTAGCTGCATTCAAATAACAGAATGTTCGTGTGAAGAAATGTTACAACTGAACTTTCTGTTCCTGGCTATATAAATTACCTTTAAAGCTATTTTTTTTCCTTCTAGTACTTTCAGAGTCACTTATTTTTGTGTCATTAGACACATTAAGACACAGATGTTAGTCTGGTTATTGTCTGCCCCTTGCTTCAGAATTTTTAAGGATATGTGGTTTTTAAAGCATAGACTGGTAAATATGCTTCATTTAACTTCCTTAAATCCGTGTGGCCCAGAAAGGTCATTTAGCCCATTCTGCTGAAAACACCATTAAAAGATTAACCAAACTGAAATGGGCCAACTTAAATTTAAAGCCATCAAGCCCAGTTCAAATAACTTCAGTCTACACAATGCTAGGCCAGGAGGTTAAGAGCCACAGAGTCTAAGCCCCAGCACCATAAGGAACTCGTTCCGCTGCCCTGGGTGGTTACTCAGTTGTGAGTAGTTGTGGTTTTTAAAATGTTAATACAACCATCAATGTGAAATGGAGCAAAATACAAAAGTTACATAAATACGAGGATAAAACGTGAAGTTTCTGAGAATATTGCTTCCTTTAAATTGCTTTGAGGTCACATATTTTCACCAGTGACTGAGCAAATCAGCTTATCCTCTTGATGGAGTAATGGAGAAACCCTGACTTCTGTGGCTGATACACCAGTGAAGGCTTGAGTCATTTATATAGATTCCATAGCTTTGAAAGGGCGGTGTTCAAACGCCTTCAATGGAGTATATGCTTACGGTATTTATTGACTGAAGGAAAAGAAATGAAGTCTCTTAATGCTTAATTGAGAATATAATTTCACTTGGTTTGCACTCCAAATGTGTTTAAGGGGAATATTGACCATCTCCATAGAGTAAAATGCATCATTATGTCATGGTGCATTTTGAGATTATAGTGTTCCAAATAGCTCCCAGCTGCAATTTCATTGAGGCGTTCATGTTTAAATAGAAGTTTGCTCTTCTTAAACTGAATTTTGTTTGCATTACAGCACTGTGCTGTAGCCTCCTTGCATCCCAAACGAAAGCAAGTGGCAGAACTGCTCCTTAGGAAAGGAGCCAATGTCAATGAAAAAAACAAGGAGTAAGTATGGCTACAAACAAGCAGTCCAGAATTTTCCTTCTCTTTCATTTCACTATTTCGTACTTGTAGGTAGTGTGACTTGAACATTTTCAGCCCCACCATTACCCACTCCACTCCCTCCTACTGTGAATCCCTTCTACCCAGCAAGTCCCCTTCCTAGATTCATGTCTCATTGTCGTCTTCTTTGTTTTGGTTTGGTTTTCTCTGACTCACTAAGTTTAGTTAGGATTGTTTGAATGAGACCAGGCAACTTAGCAGTGGCTACACTACTCAAGAAAGTGACTCCCCTCTGTCAGCAACCCCTAGCTACTGAGAGTTGTTACAGTAAAAGTTACAAAATGCTCTTGTCTTTTTCTCCTTTCCATAGTTTCATGACCCCTTTGCATGTCGCAGCTGAAAGGGCCCACAATGATGTCATGGAAGTTCTGCATAAGCATGGAGCAAAGGTAAGCCCAAACTCAGCATTAGGCAGCCAGCTGCTCTCAATTTCCTCCTCAGAAAGGACAGTTAGCTAGTTTCTGGGTTTTGTCTTTAAAGTAATAGCTTGTCTTATGAGGTTGATTTAGTTTAGTTTTGTTTTTTTCTAATAAGCTGTTCTTTTTCTTCCTGGTCTCCTAGAAAGCAATAGGCAGCTGACTTAACTGCTGTCTTTTGAAATACAGTCAGCTTTACAATTGCGTTAGTTCCTTTTCTCATCCCCGTGATCAAACATCTGGCAGAAATAACTCAACAGTGATTTTGCTCATGATCTTAGAAGAGTTAGCTTGTGGTCACTTGGCCCTGTGCACTTGGGCAGAAAACCATGGTGCTGGAAGCATGTGACACAGGAGTGGTGGTCACTTTGTAGAAGTCAGGAAACAGGAAGCAAGACAGGACAGGACCAGGAATAAGATATCTTAAAGGATCTGCCCCAGTACCTATGTCATCTTCTCAGAACCTCTCAGAAGAGTGTCATTGTCTGAGAACCACACCCCCGACACGAGCCTTGTTGGGGGACACTTTATATCAAATCCGTGAGAACAATGGAGGGTTAGTTTACTGAGCAAGAGTGCTTGCTGCTCTTGGAAAAGACCCGAGTTCAGTACCCAGCATTTACATCATCTTCTGTGGGCACCTACAGGCATGTGGCATATACTAATACAGATATACACATAAGTAAAAATAAGACACTTCTTTAAAACAGAAATGTACATTATTGGGGGGGAGATTGATGTTTTTGTAGTACTAGAAATTGAACCTGGGGTCACATACATTCTAGATAAGTGCTCGACCACTCAGCTATGTTCCCAGCAACATATACTAGAATTAATATAATGTGACAGTCAGCTTTCTTTCTTGGGTTTATTTTATTGAGTATGCATGAGTAATGAAGGAACCAGAATGCAGGAGCTAGAGCTGAGGTTATGGAGGAATGCCGCATATTGTCTTGCTCAGCTTGCATTTTTATACAGCTCAGAACTACTTGTCCTAGGTGGCAACATGTCCCTATGATCCAGTACCTGACAGAAACCACATAAGGGAGGAAAAGTGTATTTTACTCATGGTTCAGAGGTTCAGTCCATCATGTCAGGAGGACATGCTGGAATAGCCATATCATGCCACACAGGAAGCAGAGAGGGATATTAATAAGAAAATACAAGCACAGAGGACACACCCCTAGTGACCTACTCCTTCAGTCAAACTGTGGCATTCCATGGTTCCATCTTTTAGGAGCCTCCAGTCATCTATAGAAAAGCCCTCATAGACATGTGTGCACGCACACACACACACACACACACACACACACAAACACACTCACTCACTCACTCACTCAGGAATACACACATACGTTTGCTTTACTAATTACTACTTAAGTCACTTGCCTAGTTCAGTCACATTCACAGTCAAAATTGGCCATCACAGCCTCTAAATATGTGGGTTAAGAAAGTCATAGCTATTGTTAGTACTGTTGAGAATATAACATTAAATGAAGCATTTTCCTTTTTGAATACTGTTCCGTACTTTAATAGACACAAAAATACAAATTATCTCTTCAGCAACGAATGTTAGATATTTGTCAGGAAAGTTAGGACTTATGACTTGGTCTTCAACCATTTTAGGGTACTCTTGGGGCTGTGGGACCAGGGGCTTTGGGGAGAGAAGGGAGTTGGGGGAAGATTCATGCTTTGTTTGGTGGGGTTTTGTTTGTTTGTGGGGACAGAATCCACCAGGTAGTCCTAGCCTGCTGTGTATGCAAGGCAGGCCTCAGACGTGTGAGGATCCTCGTATGTGTGCCTCCCTGAGAAATCAGTCACTTTGCCTTCTAATAAAGACTAAACACTTCTTCAGCAATCCCTCTAGAAAGCCTCTTTACTGTTCCCTCTCTGGTATACATCAGTGATCTAAGAGGCCTGTACAAACAGACAGTCAAGAAGTTGACCTAGGCAATTGCTCTTCTGTTTATCTCCATTGAGTGAGTGCTTCATTGATTACTTTTTTGATTTTTACTTAGTTGCTGGATAAAGTATCCTGTAGATAGTCTTGGGTAGATGATTCTTTGCAGACTTTGAGGGAAGGGCTATAGTGTCCTTTCAGTGTGTATGTGTTAAACAGGTTTGCTTTGCATTGGTGTCTTGTACTTTATAGATAGGAAATTTTCTAAGCTATCAGAAGAACAAAACTCACCTAAAGGAATATCTCATATGGATAGAAAGTAGGACATAAAATTTCAGTATGTGACCAACTTGTCAGTTCCCAGTGTTATCAGTCAGTCCCTATCAAATGGAACTTTTTAAACTAAATCTTAAAAATTCCTGTTACAAACAAGTTCTGAGAACCACCGACACATAAATTTTTATTCGTTAAGACAGGAAGTTCTCCAGAGTAAGTGAGCGATGGGGATGTGAATGAGCTATTTTCCATAGCACTCGGTTCACCATTTTTACTTACAGAAAGGACAGTGTGTTCCTTGTCTGTGTGTTCTGTTGATCTATTTCAACAGTACAGGTGAAATTGGCTGATCCTAGGTTTACAGAAAACCTTTCAAAATCCTCTCTCTTGCCCATGACATTTGTTTGCAAAGGATTCAGCTTTATTTGAAGAACTAGAGTCATTAATTGGAGATCTTAACTTGGTAAGATCTGTATTTTACAAGAATAACTCTCAAACCATATTTACATGATTTAACAAGCTAAATTGGAGTTCATTGTTACCATTCATTTTTACAGCTGTATAGTTGAGTATTGTCTCATCTAATTTCCAGAGAAGTGTGAATAATTAGGTTGTTTGCAGTTCTGGGTGTATTCTTCTACAGTGAAGTAACATTCATACAAAAATTCTAGTTTGCCAATTTGTGTCCATTAAGAAGTAAATACATACCATAGTGCTCTGCTGTTTTTATGTACAGTCATTTTTTTCCTACTGGAAAATATGATAGAATTAAACTGTGATACTATATAACGGTGAGTTTTCTGAAGACTGTTAAGAAGTTAAGTGTACCTTAATCTGAACAAGTGTCACAGCTTTACTGGTAATGATGAAGGACTAGAAATGGAGAGACCCCTTCTCTTAAACCCTAACTTTACTGCAGGAGGTACAAGAATGTTTTGAACAACTAGCGTAAATCTGAAATTTTACTGTTATTCCCTTATTAAGACCTTTTAAAAAGACAGTTTATATTTTCAACAACATTACTTGAACTTGATGAAAAATTATTCCAATGGTATAATTTGTAAGTGCTAAGTCAGCACAGGTGTTCAGAAAGGGCTTAGTGGCTGAGGCCTCAAGGGGTGAGGGAAGACTTGGAGAAGGGGTTCTCCTAAAGCAGCTGTACATTTGTACATTGATCTAACTGGAGTGTTTAAAAGACTGTCTAAAATACCAGACTAGTTAAATTTGCCCAAATTATGAACATAACCCAAAAGCTGAACATTTAGTCAACAGAACTAAATTACTGTTTCCTATATAGTCTTCAAGGTTTGAAAATAGAACATTGAATCCTCAAGACAGTTCCCAGTCAAATGCATTCATCATTAAAGTATCTGTTGCAGGATGAGCATCCACAACCTGAAAATAGAAAATCTGAAATGTTCCAAAATCAAAACTTCTGAATTATCAATATCATACAATGGAAAACTTCACACCTGATCTCATGTAATATACCACAATTACAACACAGGCACACAAAAATGAAGTTGCCTTCAGCTTATGTGTACAGAGTATATATGAGACAAGTTCAGTTTGTATTTAGATGTAGGTAAAGAATTTGAAATTGGAAACACCTCAACCAGAATATAAGGCATTCCTAAATGAAAAAGAAGGGTAATGAACGACATTATCAGTCTTTTCATGTATATTCTGTTATCTTGATACTCTGGGTGTGGTCAAACTGTTCACTCTGGGTATCTCCAGTGTGGCCAGCAGTGAACACCAGATGAGAGTCCCTGCCACCAGAGACCTCCTGTTCTTTCTTCTGAGTGGAGTGTGGCGGGGAAATGTCAGGGACGTCAAAGGTGTTTGTGGATTATTTTCCCAGACACTCAGGCCACTAAGATGAAGCTATTGCTGTAGCACTAGTGAGCAAAAGTTAATGCCATTTTCCCAAGAGGTTTCACTGTTGGCTTTTCTTCCAAGGGCGTCTTTGCTAGTGTGTAGAATGCCTAATTTCACGTGGCCACCCAATGATTTTTCAGATGAATGCACTGGACAGTCTCGGGCAGACGGCTTTGCATAGAGCTGCCTTAGCAGGCCATCTGCAGACCTGCCGCCTCCTGCTGAGTTACGGCTCTGACCCATCCATCATCTCCTTGCAAGGCTTTACCGCAGCACAAATGGGCAGTGAAGCAGTGCAGCAGATTCTGAGCGGTGAGTTCCGTCGACCGACTGACCAGCCACCCAACCAACAGACTGGCTTCCCCTTCCCACCCCCTTTTACCCAGGCTGTGAGCCACCTGACTGCTTGCGTTTCACACCTTTCCTTGCTTGCCATTTCTTGTTTGGTTTTAGTTTAGCCCATATTCTTTTCCATCTCTGTTTTTTGGTAGGATGAGGAGGTGTCAGGAAGAAACCATTTTTAGGTTGGTTGGTTGTTAAGAATTGAAAATCTGGTGCAAACTAGAATTGTAGAAGCTATAAAAATCTACCAAATGGAGAAAAAAGTTGAATTTCCATAGTAATGACCTTTAATTATTCTTGTGTGTACTGCCCTACTTCTTGTCATTGATGATAGGTGTGTTAATGCTGCGTGAGGTAAACAGTCTCAAGAATAATTTTGCAACCTTGAAAGCTCTGTAAGTCTTTCTCTCCCTCTGCAGTTCATTCTTAGATGCCAATCATTCAGCTTCAGTCTTTAGATTTCTTGACAGAGATCATGCATAAAACTTATAGGAGAATGGGCATTGGCTTCCTAACTGCCAGAATTAGAAGTAACATCCTACTGAAAACTTAGGAAGTAGATGCTAAAGGATTCAGTGTAGTTACTTGTCTTCCTCTCTCATTGACCTTTCCACCAGTCTTCACCACCAAAATATGGACAGGGGTTTAACCTTGAATATTAAACACCTGTCTCGTACAGAGCAACAAGATACCTGCTGCAGGAAAATAAGATAATAATACTCCCCCACTAGGAAATAGATCTTTCAAGAAATTGTAATCATTTTATAAATTGGCATTTTTCTGAAATATACTTTTTACTGGGAGTCATTTGCTACTGAATTTTACTTTCTGTGAGTTATAACTATAAATAAACTATAAATAAAACATAAAGCTACTGCATCAGTTTCTCACAATACTGCTCATAAATTTTAACAATGGTTAGCAAAACAGAGATGAAGCATCAAATAAATCCAGCAAATTGGATCCATATAATGCCTTTAAAATGCCTTCTAGCTAAATGCACTTCACACATGCGACTTGTGGGGGAAATGAAATTGAACATGGAGTCGTAAGTAAAAAGTTTCAGCTACTTTTATAATTCTACTCTAAAATTGATTTGTGATGCATATAGTTAATTAAATGCTTAATTTAGGAAATGATAGGACTCAGTTTGCCATATTCATTATTGATTCAGAAAGGTAATGCGTATAATAGAGCTGTCTGAGATAAAGTCTTTTAAAACCATCGGAGAGGATACTGAGGGTTTTTAATACTAACACTTTTACTTTCCCAAATCTCTCTTTACTTTTTAATCTTGAAACACAGTCTGCCTAAGTTGCCTATGCTAGTCTTGTACTCACCCTGTACCCTAGACAGGCTGGGTTTGTAATATCCATGCCTCACCTACTTTAGTAGCTGGGATTTGCCTACCAAGCCCCAAAACAAGTCTGTTCTAACCTTAGTATTTTAGATTTATGCAGATACAGAGCTGTGCAGTTGCTGTTGTAGTAAGTCAGCATGTTTAACTTTTGCCCTTTGACCTTTCTGTAGTTCTTAGAAGCATCAAGATATTTTACTTGACTGAAAATGACACTTTCCTATTACTCCACATGAGCATGCTGTGATGACTAACCTAAAGACACAGGATGCTTGGCTGAGTTTTCTCTTGCTGGAGTCACTCTCATAGAGACATAGTAGACTGTTGCAGAACAGCCTCAAGTGCCGCAGTACACGTGTACCGTTAGGATGGAGGCTGGTGACCAGAGAGAAGGCAAATACAGGCAGCCAAAAGAATTAGGTTTGACACAGTAACTCAGATATGAAGTCACCCAAAACCAACTTGGCAAACACTTTTTAAATTGCTGTGTTTGTGAAAAGAAAATATAAATAGGAGCAAGGATCCAGTTCCAGTCCTTAGCAACTGCACATACTAACAAATGCAATGTAACACATGCTTTAAAGAGAAATAATTTTAAACTGCACTTCATTGTTTGAGGTTTTTTTCTCCTCTTTAGTGTTGGTGTTTTATCTGCTTTAACCTTAGTATTTTATCTGCTAAATATTATTAATATGATCAAATAGTTTGTCTTCTACTGAAGAATTCTTATAACTTATCTATAGAAGTCACCCTTGTGAGCAAAGCCCTGTAGAAAAGCTTAAAATGTTTCTTCTAAAATCTGAAGCCTTTTATAACAGCACTTGATCTTCCCACTTTTCCCCACGAACTCGCTGTCTCTGATCATGATATAATATAATCTTAAGACGGACAGAAGCTTTGAGGACAACCAGCTCTCACTCTTGAAATGCAAAAACTAAGGTATTATGCTGGCTAGCTGGCTCAGTGGGTAAGGGTGCTCACTGAGCAAGCCTGACAACCTGAGTTCAATCTTTGGAGCCCGTGATGGACAGAGAGACCTGACTTCTGCACATTGTCTCTGGCTTCCATATGTGTCATGGCACATGTATCCTCCAAAGTCCACACAGAGCCCAAGCCTGTGGTCCAGATTCCCTGCCACACACTCCTTTTGTATTGATGTCTGAACATTCTGAAAACCACATTTAACACGAGCATATTGAATTCTTTTAAAGACCAATGTTGAAGACATTTTTGTTATGTTTATGTTTGACTAAGCAAAATACCTGACTTTTGAATAAATGTAACAAGCTTGGTATGTTCTGTTTAGCACTGTTATCATATCTCCTAATTATGCAGACATTGGAAAGTCGGGAGATATTTTTGATCTCCTGGTTCCAGCTTTCCTCGCTCCTTTGAAACAGTCTTTAACCAGAATATTTGATGCCTAGAGTAGTGGAACATAAAAGTGTTTGCCTGTGTTAGAATTATTTAAATTTGACTTCAGTAAGATGTAAAGTGAAGTAAAAAATTACTTGTCTGCGTAAGACTGGGGAAGTAACCATTATTTCACAGATATATCCAACCTTAATCTCTCTTCCTTCACCTTCCATAACTCCAGTCTCCTTCCATAACTTCCTGCAGTACCCCAAGGTCAACATAATCTTTCTTTTCTTGGATACAGAGAGTACTCCTATCCGCACTTCTGATGTGGACTATCGACTTCTGGAGGCCTCAAAAGCTGGGGACTTGGAAACTGTGAAGGTAAAACAGTGCCTTTACTGTTACTGTTGAAATCTTACTTCCCAATTCATTTGGACACATCTACTGCTCAAAAACAAACTATATATACATACATACATATATATATATATACATGCATATATATGTTTTTAAGATTTAAAAACAGTTGATGGTATATCTACAGATAGGAGAGTTCTCTGTGACGAAGATTTTCCCAGATTGCAGCTTATAGCACTTAAACCATAAAAAAATAAGATACATACACACAAAATTTTATTACATCAAATGTAATAAAAAGTATAATTTCTGTGTGTATGTGCACATGGTATGTGTGTGGAAGGAACAACTTTCTAGAGTTAGTTTTCTCCTTCTACTCCATGGAACCTGGGAATTGAATTCAAGTTGGCAAGTGCCTTTACTCCATGAGCCATTTTGCTGGCCCGGAATACAAATTTTAGTTTCATCTGTGTGTATACACGTAGGACTTACTAACTTTCAAGTTCCTAAACAATACATTCACAATAAATGAAAAGTTTATTTTTGATAGTGGAATGTAAGTCTCCAAAGAAGACATACAAATTGAGAATTCAGTCTGGTACAATCCTTTCTCAAAAGACTTAAGAAGGTATTAGGTTAGCTTGGTGTGGTAGCTCATGCCTTTCATTCCCTTGGAAAGCTGAGCCGTGAGTGTTTCTGTTAGTTCTGGGATAGCCTGCACTATAAGAGTGATATTCTACCTCTTCTCTGGGGGGTAGTGGGGAGAATTAGAGGGAGAAGGAAAGAAAAAGTCTGTTCACTATATAAAGCATATTAAAATTTGAAAAACAGGACATACAATTGCTTTGACATTCAACCAGAAATGAAAAGAATCAAGAACGTATATAGTACCAAAAAGCCAGTTTCTCTTGACCCACCTTCAAGGAGTCAGGAACTCTCTTTAGTTTCTTTAGTTCCTTGTTCAACTCAAGTTGATTTGGGCAGTGTGCCATAAGAGTCCGTGTGTGATGAGGAATCTTGGGGAGGGGAGATAGACACAGATAAGAGGTTTCATGTGCTCCCCTTGTGGGCTTTCTTTTGGGTTAGGGGTTGGGTTAGGACATGCTGACAAAGATTAAATTCCTCTGCATACATATTAAGTATTTCTGGTCACTGTACCAACAAACAGAGTGGATTCTCCTTTGTAGTTTTTTGAAACAGTATTTGGCCCAGACTGTCCTCAAACTCACTGTGTAACCTACCCTGGTCCCCAAATTGGAGATCCTCCTGCCTCATCCTCCCCAGCCTCACCATGTCTGGCTATGATGCTGACTTTTAACATTTCAATTATTATATTTATTATATGATTATAGTGATCTAAAATACCATACAATTTTAGAGCAAAATCTGTGAATGATTGTTAATGGTTTTGTTTCTGTCTCTATGTCTGTGTACATCACAAAAGCAACTGTGCAGCCCACAGAATGTGAATTGCAGAGATCTGGAGGGCCGGCATTCTACACCCCTGCACTTTGCTGCAGGCTATAACCGTGTGTCTGTTGTGGAGTACCTTCTGCACCATGGAGCTGATGTCCATGCCAAAGACAAAGGGTATGTGTGTGTTCAAATCCAAGTCTTTGGGCTGCCTTCTCTTCATACTTTATCTATCTATCTATCTATATATATATATATATATATACATATATATATATATATATTGGTGTAAAAGTTTTACATAACTGCTTTCTTTAGAACAAGATAATTTACAAATGACAGCTACTCCTTTTTTAAATGTTATGTGTTTTGGTGTTATAGGTGCTTTCCCCATTAAAACAATATAATTGTTTCATTTAAATCATAATTTAAACAGTATAGAAAATGAAGATTCTCTCATCCCACCCCCTAGAGATGCAAAATGAGCTGTTTGCCTGTAATTCCCCAGCTCTGTCCTTTGTTATGTACACCAATTGTGAATCACTTGGATTGTGAGCTCTTGTCATTTAGCACCTCTGAATTTACACTGCGCGGTAGATAGACGGAATTTGCACTGCGCGGTAGATAGATGGAATTGGCACTGCGCGGTAGATAGACGGAATTTGCACTGCGCGGTAGATAGATGGAATTGGCACTGCACGGTAGATAGACGGAATTGGCACTGCGCGGTAGATAGACGGAATCGGCACTGTGTGGTAGATAGACTGAATTTGCACTGTGCGGTAGATAGGTGAGGAAGCCGTTCTGTAGTCTGCTTTGACCTTCACCTGGTCTCACCCAGCAGGACATATGAGATGTCTTCTGATCTGGTGCATCCTTTGCATGCTTATGTAATTGTAATTTATGTTCATCCTCTCGTTATATTTTTTGCTATTAAAAATAGATGATTTCTTCCAAAAAGAATGTAGTCCATCCCAGAATCACCAACATTAATACAATATTGTTTAAATTGTCTGTATTTTTATATTAGATGAATTATTTGACAAATCAGGTAAAACTTTTACTTAGAAATGTGAAAAGAGTATTTTAACTAAAATGAATTTCTGTATTCTGAGTTAATTTGCACCTGCTCAGGTAAGCCAATCCTGTCCTATGCCCTTGCTTAACACAGAGCTATAAATGAGATTGCATGACTTGCGTTTATCTTCCTAAAGTTGTGCACTATACGTGACAATTTGAGAACTGTGTCACTGGTTGTTTCAGAATACTGTAGTGCATAGGAGAGCAGCGCATGTTCTGACTCTGTTTTACTACCCACGTATTTCATCACAAAACCATCATTTTGGATGACACTAATTTCTAGCTAGAACAGGCCTGGGTATCTTGTTTTACTGTGTCCTACATCAACTTAAGCTGACCCTTCAGTGCACTGACTTGAGAGAGGGTACCTTTTTGTGCCGCTTTGTAGAACGTCACCTGCTTTCTGTGAAAACATTGTCATCTGAAAGAGTTTCCTGAGGAGGTGAGGGTGCTAGGTTCTCTTAGCTGAGTAGAATTTATAATGGGAGAACCTTTTTCCCTTGGTGAATTTTCTTTTTTTAGGGTGGGAAGAGGTAGAGTTTGGTTTGATTGAGACAAAGGTCTCTCTGTAGTCTGGATGTCCTGAAATTTGCTAGGTGCAGACCAGGATGAGCACAAACTCACAGAGATCTTCTGCCTCTGCCTCTGCCTCCTAAGTGCTGGGATTAAGGCATGCACCAACATGCCCAATGCAGATTCCCTTCTGAAATCACTTAGAGTTCGAGTTTTCATTGCTTGGTACCACAACATTTAAATTGTGCAGAGAAAACACTATTGAATTGTTACAAATTAAAAAATAGCTAAAACAAATGGTAAAACCTGCCAACTGAATAAGTGTCTGTATTACAATATTAGATTATATTTACATTATGTATTGCATATTATTGTATATTGTGTATCATCTAAATAAGCCACGAATTTTCATTAGTAAAATCCAAATCAAAGAAAATCTGAGAGATGATTTTAAAAAAGCAGATTGGTTAGTATTTGTACTAATACTTGGTAGTATACAGACCTTTACAATGCTAGGATGGAAGTAAGAATTGAAACAGGCCTGGTGTCCCAGCTGCTTGGGAGGCTGAAGCAGTAGGATTTGAACTCAGTGCCTGCTTGGTGCATAGAATGAGTTCAAGAATACCTTTCTTACAATAGAAAAGGCTGTGAGTGTGGCTCAGTGGTAGAGTACCCCTAGCATGCATGAAACCCTGGATTTTAATCCAAGCACTACCAAAAAAAAAGTATTGTGATTGAGTATATATATCTACAAGTATTTCAAGACTAATGGTTGTTGTGGAATAAGATGACTTTATATTGGAATGTTTGAATTGGTGAGATGGCTTAGCAGGCAAAGACACCTACTGTACAAGCCTGCTGGCCTGAGTTCAAACCCTAGACCATGCATACAGGAGAAGGGAGAGAGCTGACTCAGCCTTGTCCTCTGACCTCCACATGTGCCCTGGCACACATACCCACCAGTAAATAAAAAGTGTTAGTCCTTGCCTAGAAATGGGAGCCTGTTTCTAAGAGACCAAAGAGGAAGTGTTCTTCTCAAGGGGATGTTCAGGATACCCAATCCCATAGAAGGGTGTGAAGAGGAGGCGGTTTTGAGGTAGAGTCTCATGTAGCCCGTGCTGGGTTGAAAACCCCTCTGTAGCTGAGGATAGCCTTGAACTCCTGCCTTTACCTCCCAAGTACTAAAGCATGTGCCACCACATACAACAAAAGAGCATTTATTGTAAGGTAATTTAGCTGCAAGATCTGACCTGTCTTGTGACTCTTCTTTTGTTTAGTGGTTTGGTTCCCCTTCACAATGCCTGTTCCTATGGACACTACGAGGTAGCTGAGCTCTTGGTGAGGCATGGGGCTTCTGTCAATGTGGCGGACTTGTGGAAATTTACCCCTCTCCATGAAGCAGCAGCCAAGGGAAAATATGAAATCTGCAAGCTCCTTCTAAAAGTATGTAGATATGAAACAGCTGCCTGGCTTTAGTTATTGCTTGAAATTAGAGTATTATGATCTATTGAAAACAAGTGCTGAGAATACCATCCATTTCCAGGTGATGTCATCCTACTCACATAGCTTGGACTAGTGCCTGGCAGGTCTTTCTGAGTAGATTCAATGGAGGTCATTTCATTAAAGAAGGTTGGGGGAGAACTGGTTTAATTTGCATGGCTTATCTAATGTAGTGTCAATATTAGAAAAAAAATGACCTAAGGAACCTTTTCACTCGTGCTGTATGTGATGCAGTTACTGTTGCTATCATCATAGCTAATGATACTGTTAAATCATTACTTGTTAAATATCACATACACATGTATGCCATACAAGACATCTATCTGTGTGGTTTCCCATCTTAACCAGAGAAAAGTGGTTCTTGTTACATGTGAATACAATTTACATTTTTATTTGATATAGTATCATAAATGTATATGGCAAATATTACCACTAGTTAGTTTAAAAAGCAAATCACTGATAAGTCATTATTAATTCATTGTCTAACTTGAATGTCAGGGTTTGTTTGTATAAGATAAAATCTCATTCTGTAGCCCTAGCTGGCCTAGAACACATAGAGATCTGCCTGCCTCTGCCCCCCAAATGCTGAAATTAAAGATATGTCACCACACCTAGCTACTTACATTATCCTTAATTCTCACAATAGGTCGACAGCATCTGTATCAGGGCTATAGTAAAAGTTTTTGGCCTATGGGTGTAGGTACTTTTAAAACTATGAGACTTTTTTTTAACTGATGCCATTTGGAATTCAGGGGTTTTTTTCCTACCTGTATGTCTTCCTTTTTTTCTTATGATGCTGCCTAAATATCTTTACACAATTTGAGTTGGGGCTAGTGGGGTGCTTGCCTACGAAGTGTAAGGTCCTAGTTTTATCACTAAAACTGTGTGTGTGTGTGTGTGTGTGCGCGCGCACACACGTGCTGCAATTAATCCTGGCTGAAATTAACATCTATATCATTACAAAAAAAAAGATTTCAAAGGTAACTTCAAGCCTCAGGAACAGTTTGTCGCAAAAGAACAAAGATGGCTCAGTATCCTCTCAGCTTCGCTATCACCATTGACCCTGAGGCTTTAATTAGTGGTCAGCAAGATTTTGAATCATTTTTCTAAGTGGCTACGAATTAAAGCAGAATTTAGATTCCTGTTTTCAAAGTGCATGTAGAATAGATTTCTTTCCTGATAAGTGAAGGCATAGATAGCAAATTAAGTAATGTATATGCTACCTACCCACTTGCAAAAACACAGGCACCATTCGGTTTTTGTCTTACAGCATGGAGCAGATCCAACTAAGAAGAACAGAGATGGAAATACACCCCTAGATCTGGTCAAAGAAGGAGACACAGATATTCAGGACTTACTGAGGGGGGATGCCGCCCTGTTGGATGCTGCCAAGAAGGGCTGCCTGGCCAGAGTGCAGAAGCTTTGTACTCCAGAGAATATCAACTGCAGAGACACCCAGGGGAGAAACTCAACTCCTCTGCACCTAGCAGGTAAGCGTCACGGTGCATCATTCAGTGTCCTTTTGAATGTTCAGTTAAACACTACTAAACTGTTCGCCAGGTGCTTAACCACGTGGCTTGCAAGGTGCAAGAGGATTGGTAAGATTCCCCAGCAAGTAAAGGTGCATGCCACCAAACTTCACGCCCCAAGTTCAATTCCCGAAACTCACGGGATGAACTGAGAATCAACTCCTGCAGATTGTCCTGAGGCCTCCAAACTCATGCTTGGTGTCTGCAGTGCCTGTGAAAGAGACTGGCTTGTGTTGTACACTTTAGTAAAGACTCAATTTTATGAAGATAGTATTAGCCTTAAAGAAAAAAATTAATCTTAAATTTTTCTGGACTTTATTTGTATGTGTGTATGAATTGTATTTATTTCTCTAGACCTGACATGTCCCTTTTTACTCTAACAGCAGGCTACAATAACCTGGAAGTAGCCGAATACCTTCTAGAGCATGGAGCAGATGTTAATGCCCAGGACAAAGGAGGTTTAATCCCACTTCACAATGCAGCATCTTATGGGGTGAGCATGTTTCAGTGAACATCTAGAAGCCTTTCCTGGCGTTTAATAGTTTACTAAATGTGCACTACATGGTAAGAAGCGGGTTTCTACCAGCAGCAAGGTTAAGTGCATTTTAACCATCTATGTAAGTTACATCGTCTTCCAATGTAACTACTTTTTGATGAATACCCATACTTTTGAAAGTTCTCTCTCTTTGCATATTACCTAACACAGTAATTGGTATGGAATGGGTCATAAATAAATCTTACCTCTACCCCAGATGGAGTTTAGATATTTTGGTAATTAATTACATTTATCTCTAGAATCCTGAAAGTGTCAAGCGAAGTGGTTAAGCAATTTGCACACAGTTTAATAGCATTCAGCTGAAGGAGTAAACCCCCAGGTAAATGTGCAGAGCCATCTTTCCGGTCATGTAACTGTTTTCACCAGGAAGAGGACGGCACTGCAGTTCCTTCATGCCATTGTCAGAACTAGTGGTAACCGAGATGCTCAGGCCTGCTACTTCACAATAGAAATAAGTCAGACAAGAAGAATGTTTCCATGTTTGTCTGCTGTCACACATGTCCCTCTTGGCTGTGAAATTCCCAGATAGCCGTTCCTGTACACCAGGCTCTTAGGTGATGTAGTGTAATGGCTCCCATGGTCATTTTCATACAAACCACAGCCTTGCTTTCCTTTTCCTACTGGTTTTTCCTACTGGTTTTTTGCTGTTACACTGCATTATCAAATCCTGGGGTTGAGCTCAGTTTGCTCTTTGCATCTGCATTTAGCCCTCGTTTTCAGTTGCTGTTGCCCTAGTGGTATAGCTACCTAAAAAGAATTGAAAAGCCTAAGAATTGTTTTTCAACTCTACTTGGGTAACAGTCCTTCCTCTTCTTTGTCAGCCAGTTTAGCAAGCAGGTAATTGGTTTCCCTAAACACACACTGTAAATTCAATAGGGTGTTTAACAGTACTTACTGAATATACAGCTCATTTGTACACCCACATACTTGAAAACTAACTTTTCTTGGACTATATAATTTTGGACGTCTAGGCAAATTAGTCTACCAAATTGCAGTATTCTTTTAATAAAATACAGGAAGCATGGTTTCAGTAACTTATAGAATCATTTGAGGAAGTTTTAAATTATCCCATGTTTTTGGATTGACTGAACAGAAGTGCTTTCCAACACATCTTTTGAATAAAGAAGACAATTGGGGTTTTGTTTTGTTTGAAGTGATTTTGATAGACTCATAGATAGCTTCCATGTTACAAGTCTGAACATAAATTACGAAATTACTTTTATAATGTTCTCTTAATCCCCAAAGAATTTTAAAACATAATAAGCTAACTGATCTCAGAAGAACGCTAGTTTCGCTGTGTGACCCACCCCTCCACCCCCGTATTAACAGCAGTGGAACCCTTTCTTAGGAATTGCCTGATCTTTACTTTTGGAATAACTAGTTTGAGGCCAGCCTGAGTTACATGAGACCCAGGCTTACAAAATAAAAGTAAATATAGTTAGAAGGGCAAAAGAATAGTTGTGGGGAGACAAGTCCCAGACACAGTGTTTACATGTTTTTAAGAAGAAGCTTCTGTTAAGGATGAGAACACAGGCCTGGAAGGAATTATTAAACAGAAACAAGGATACTTGATGGAACTCTACTGGGTGGTTTCCTTCTTCAACCTCTGTGTGCTTTTGATTTCCTTAGCATGTTGACATAGCAGCGTTACTGATAAAATACAACACATGTGTAAACGCAACGGATAAGTGGGCCTTTACTCCGCTTCACGAAGCTGCCCAGAAAGGAAGGACGCAGCTGTGTGCCCTACTCCTAGCTCATGGCGCAGACCCAACCATGAAGAACCAAGAAGGTCAGACACCTCTAGATCTGGCAACGGTATGTCCTTCCCTCAGCTACGGTATTTTCATTACCTTCTAATGCTCAGCTGACAGTTCACTTGACAGAGTTGGCATTCTTCCTGGAAATCTTAGCCAAAGTCACATGTGCCCCAAGCTTCTTTTGGACTTCTGTGCTATCTCATGTGTAATCAGCCCACTTAGCTCTCAATACCAGTTGCCTAACTTGCAGTTCTCCTTCAAGCCACCACTCAACACTTGATGCCTCTAGCCAAAAGTGCCTAGGAAGCTTTAAAAAACAATCACAAAATGTTTGGTGCTTATTGAAGAACTTAACATGTTTAACATTTATAATGTTTCTGTGTTTTCTTTAATTATTATTTTTAGGCTGATGATATCCGAGCTTTGCTGATCGATGCCATGCCCCCAGAGGCCTTACCTACCTGCTTTAAACCTCAGGCAACTGTGGTTAGTGCCTCTCTGATCTCACCAGCGTCCACCCCCTCCTGCCTCTCCGCTGCCAGCAGCATAGATAACCTCACTGGCCCTTTGGCGGAGCTGGCTGTCGGAGGGGCCTCCAATGCAGGGGATGGCGCTGCCGGCGCAGAGAGGAAAGAAGGAGAAGGTGGGTGGAGATAGCCCTGGAAATTCTTCTTGGCTCTTTTAGTGATTCAGTTACTTTTTTCTTTTAGTTATTAAAAACTTTAGATGGCTTCTCTAAACCTTCATGAGTCCAGGGACATGCTGGACTATCAAACAAAGGTGGGGGTGGAGTATGAGAGGAAAGGGAAGAGAAAGGAAATGAGGACTTGACTTTGAATAACCAACATCTATGTCAAAAACTGGATACAGCGTCCCAGTAGTCCCAGTGTTGAAGAGGCAAAGACAGGAGGTCTCCTGGGACTTGCTGGCCAGCCAGCCTAGCTGAGCATGTGAGCTCCAGGGTTAGTAAGAGACTCTCTAGAGGATGGACGGACGGACGATGAAGAAGACACTCAATATTGATGTCTGTCCTCTACAGACACAAACATGTACATACACATATACTATACACACAGAGAAATAAACAAATCAAAACAATAGCTACTACTTTTGATTTTCTTTTTTTTAATTCATTAAAAGTATTCTATCAAATATGGCTGGAGCTTAGGGACTAATCTTCCAGAGGACCTGGTTTAGTTCCCAGCACCCACACTAGGTAGCTGACAACCCCCTTCACTATACTGCCAAGGAATCCAGTATGTTCTTCTGGCTTTCAAGGACACCTGGACTCAACATAAACATACACATAATTAAAAATAATAAGATCTTTTAAATTGTATAAAATAATACTGTTATATTAAAGTTAATATTTATTATATATCTTATAATGTGTAAACCTGTATTTTAATTCTATATTTTATGTATATTAGTATTAATATAAGTACTATTCTATTGCTGTGCCAAAGGTAAAATTCGGAATAACCTGAAGTGCTTAAGTTAAATATGTATTTGGCATTATTTTATGACATGTGAAATCATCTGTATAGGCAAGGGTCAAGATACAGGGTCATGCCAGGTGGTGGTAGCGCACACCTTTGATCCCAGCACTTGGGAGGCAGAGGCAAGTGGGTCTCTGTGAGTTCCAGACCAACCTGGTCTACAGAGTGGGTTCCAGGACAGCCAGGCTGTTAAATAGAGAAATGCTGTCAATCAATAAATAAATAGATAAATAAGCATAAGAGAAATACATAGATACTGAAACCTTCCATAGAATTAGAAAATTCTAAGAGACTTTACTGTTTCTGTTTTAGTTGCGGGTCTTGACATGAATATCAGCCAGTTCCTTAAAAGCCTTGGCCTTGAACACCTTCGGGATATCTTTGAAACAGAACAGGTAAACTCTTGTGTACTTTTGCAGCTGTTGAGTTGTTTATTACCACACATTGGTTTTTTGTTTTGAACTTTGCAACTGTTTGTTTCCTGTATTATGTATTCTCTTCATTTTGTGACTTAATGGTATTCCTCAATCTGCCCCACGCCTAATCTATTTCTTTTTGATATGTTTTTTACCATGTTTGTTAGCTGGAGAAGCCAGGGAGCCCAGCACTCTAGCCTCTCTCCAACATTACCTGGCAGCTTAGAGAGCTTTCTTCCTCTCTGTGGGCAGTCTTGCTCAGTGCATTGTCATGTCTGTGAGAGGCGAGAGAGAGTACAGCCTGATGGGAGAGCACTTGGTGAACTAAAACTTCCTCAATGGTATTTTTATGTTGTCTGAGGTTTTGTTTCCAAAAGACACTGGCATTTATGTCCTCACCTCATTGTGTTTACTAGTGAGAACTCTGTTTGCTGGACTGTGTTGTCAAGGATAGTGAGTTTTTAACTACTGTGCTCCGTGGTAAACTGAGTTTAGTGTTATTGCTGGACGTGGAACCTCAGAACAGGAGAGGCACTTAGAGCCCAGTATGTCATTCTCCCAGGTGTGGAGTTGCCTCCTTACACCACAGCAGCCTTTCTGACGGGGAAGATAACTCGTGTGCTAGAATATAGCTGTTCCTATCTTCTTAACTAGCTTCATGGACCTCGTCAGATCCTTTGTGACTTGTGTCACAATCTGCCCCGTGCTCAAAAGTCTCTTCTTTACAGTGTGTGTACTGAGTTTGTAGAGTTACATAGCAGGTGACCGTGGGCTTGGTAGCCTAACAGGAAATCAGATTGTTGAGGTGCACCCCCTGCAGCAATTCTAGAATAGTCTGCTCCCTGCCTTTCCTGTCTCCTTGACTTATGTGCCTCTTACTGGGACATTTCCTTTATATTTGGGTCCTCTTGGGTGACTCCTAGTCTCAAGATCCTTCACTTAAGCATCTAGAGACAGCTTTCTCCAAGAAGTAAGTGTTAGCATGTTTAGAATTTGTCCCTTGCAGGTAGAAGGGTCTATCTTTTTGAGGTCTCAACTCGACCCACAGCAAGCATTCTTGTATAAGCTGTCTTATCTTTTTAAGGCCTAGGCAATTTATCATAGACTCTCCCTTCCCAGCTATCAGTCTCTACAAATAATAAACCCTCTGTAATCAATGACCTTGTTAGAATGTTCTTCACAGGTTCTTGCACTGGTCTTTATTCTTTGTGAACATGTGGTCAGTCTTTATTAAATACCCTGGGTTAGTACAGGTAGATGGCACACTCCTATAGTGAGCAGTTGGGAGGATGAAGCAGGAAGATCATAAGGTTGAGGCTAACCTGGGCTACATAGCAAGTTAGGAGATAATCTGGGGTTTAGTGAAAAAAGTATCTGGAAAGTGGTTTTTTTTGTTTGTTTTTAAATTTTACATGACTTATAGTAAGATTTTTTTCTTTAGTTAAATAAAATTTACAAGTATTACAGTTCATCCTTAGTATTTTTAATGACTCAAACAGTTGAAATAGAATTGAACTAACTAACTAACCAACTTGGGCTGTTTTTCTCTGACTGTAAAGGTAGGTTATGAGGCATTTAGCCTATCACTTCTCTTGCCAGTCAGTCAGTTAAGCACACCTACATGTGTAAATGCTTAAAATTCCTAGTGAGATTCTATTTTGTCAACTTTTAAATCCCACTTTGTTAAGGCATCATACGGGTCTTCATCTTCTGCGCTAGAGAGATCCTGTGAGAACATTGTAAACAGCGAGGGGTCTTGGAAGCTGTTTGAACACATCCTCCACTATAGCCAAATGAACAACTACATAGCTTCATTCTGAATCATGATCGCCATATTTATCTTGGTTTAAGTGTAAGGATTGAGAACGTTACACACACACACATACACACACACATACACACACACACACACAATTTATTTACTGTGTATGCAGTGTTCTGCCTACACTCCAGAAGAGGGTACTAGATCTCATTACAGATGGTTGTGAGCCACTCTGTGGTTGCTGGGAATTAAACTCAGGATCCCAGGAAGAGCAGCCTGTGCTCTTATCTTAACTTCTGAGCCATCCCTCCAGCCCCAATACTTATATTTTTAAAAATTTGTATGAGTTACAGAAAGAATGTCTATAAAAGGATATTTCAGGTCTCCAAAGAAAGGAAAAAATTAAGAGGAAAAGCCAGTGTTTATCCCAGGGCCTTTTCTCTCCTGGAAAGCCACCAGTGCCGTACTGGCCACAGGTCATTTCAACACTTTGCCTCTGGGTGGAGGTAGAGTCACAATTTCTGTAACCCACAAAGGTGAGGAAAAGAGTCACCAGCACTCACAGGCTTTGTCCAAACAACGAATGTGTTAGGCAGCAGGGATTGATAACCTGACAGTTTATGAACTGAAATCTCTCTCTTCTTTTCTCCAGACTGGAATTTCTGATGTTCTTCTTTATAAAATTTCCTGGGATCTAAATTTAAGCGTTAAGTCTTAACTACCTCCTGAGACTACTGGCTCCCGCCTTGCTTACTTCCTGGCACTTGGATTTTTCTTATCTGAAGTTGGCTTACTTTTGCCACACATGATTAATTAAAATGCTTCTCCCTCCCCTCTGCTATTCATTTCTCCCACCCACAAGATACTGAATTTGGGGTCTTCCCATTTTCAAGCTGCTGATGTATCTATCTGAAGACAAACAAAAGACTGTAGAATTGCAATCAGAAAGAAATATGGCAGGGATCATCTGTCTTCCCATCACTCTGGGTCTCCCGTCTTAACTCTCCATCTGCCTGAAGCAAATTGGGAAGTGTTTCTACTGAGCTAGAGACTGCCAGTCTTCTTAGGCAACTTGAAGGTCATGTTTATAAAAGGAAACAGATTCTTTAAAATTGTGTGGTAATCATAGCGCTATAGACAGGTGCAAAAGCTTTTCTCCTCCAAGGAGCTGTTACATATTTAACATGTAATTGCTTTCACTTTTCAGATTACATTAGATGTGTTGGCTGATATGGGTCATGAAGAATTGAAAGAAATAGGCATCAATGCATATGGACACCGCCACAAGTTAATCAAGGGCGTTGAAAGACTTCTAGGTGGACAACAAGGTAAGCTATTTGAAAAATACATTTTTTATATTTATATATTATATATTTCATATGTAAAAGGTATATTGATATGAATTTATGTAAATGATATATAAAGCATATGTTATAACGTACAATATTTTATGCATATAAATATCACATGTATGAGTGTTTTTAATATATATTTAGGACTTAGTGAAGAAATATCAAGTATAGCACCCCTGCCTTCCTCAGCTCAGCTAATCACTTACCAACTGGGAAAGCCTGAGATCACCCCTCTTCCTACACTTACGTCCTGAATTTTCTCTCACATCTGTCACCTAACTCAAGCCACCATTCCCTGTCCTGGACCTCAGCCACGGGCAGTTTATCTACTACCTGCACCTTTACCTCCTCGTGCCTTGTGGGCCACCAACTGGGACCCCCAACGTGAGTCTGTGGTCCTCCTTCGGTAGCAGCCTGTGCTGTCTGGATGAAATGAGACCCTGGCACACGGCTTTTCATAGCCTAACCAACCTTGCCGCATTTGGAGCGCTTCTGCCCTCGGGACCACAACTCTTCCATTTCCATCGTCCTTTCCCTTATTCCAGGCTTCTTCTCTTCTGTGTTTGCTTTGCTTCTCTTCATTAGAAGCATTTTCATATAGGAGAGAAAGTAAAGACAAGGAAACAAATAGTATGTCTATGGAGCTGATAAAAGTTTCAAGAACTGCATTCAACCAGAATGTAGACAGTTTTGAAGTTGACTCTTGTTTTTAACATGTGTTTTAGGCAGCTCTATTAAATTAGCAGATAAGTTATGTCACTGACCATTTCAAGCCCTCCTAGGAGTGTTCAAGGACAACTCTTTGTTTTAGAACTCACTCCAGTGTAATCCAGTGCGTGTTTCTCTTTTGTGTATACATATTATCAACTGTGTTGAGTTGAGTTCCATTCAGCAGGTATTGAGCCCTGCTGTGTAGATCATGGGAGTGCATAAGGTCCCTTAACACCTCATTTCCTCCTGTGCCTCTGGTCTATTTGCTTAACAGACTGTATGTTTGAGGTAGAGATTGGAAAGTTTAGGCTGTTCCAAACTGTCAGTTATTTATAACCAAGTTTCCATAAACTTAGTGGAACTGGGGTGATGTGGTCTTACACTTTATAAGTTTTTGTTTTTCTTCTGCAGGAACCAATCCATATTTGACTTTTCACTGCGTGAATCAGGGAACTATTTTGCTAGATCTTGCTCCAGAAGATAAAGAGTATCAGTCAGTAGAGGAAGAGGTAACAGGCATCAAAAAGTTTCTATTTTCCCAAATTCTGTTAAGACTGTTTTTCCAGGAGACTTACACTCATCTTATTCTGTCCTAGGGTCACTGGCTGTTGCTCATTCTCAGTCCCCAGGAAGCATTTAATATGGTTGTAGACTAAAACTATGCACATTGCTTTCATATCACAAGTCTATATGTAGGATAGCTTTATATTTTTATTCTGGAAATTTTGTAAGTTTTAAGTCATGCAAGTAATAATGCTTTTAGAACATTTTCATACAGTAAGATACACCTAAGATTGATAAGAAGCAAGAATCTTGCCTCATAGACAGAAAATACCTTCTGATCTTTATTTTTTTTAATGTTGTTATTGTGTTTCTTTAGTAACGTATCTGATTATCACATGTTCTTCTAAAGTTGATTACATGACTACAGAAGATTCTCTCACAGTTAATCTCCAAAGTCACAGTTCTTTCCAACACTGTATTAAAATTACTTGTGAAGTGAACCTCCTTGTAGAAAGTTGGCATAGAAATTTCCTATGCTGGTAACTTGTAGTTCCTGCCCCTGATGCAACATCTAACTCCATCATTGTGAGTAAGCTGCCTCATTCCATTATTATACAAACACCCAAGTAGAAACAAGTTTGCCTGCAGTTAAGGGCTTTCTGTTCTTGTTTGCTTTGTTTCGTTTTTTTTAATTAGTGTTACTTGTTTTTTAATTAGTGCCCATGATATCTCCATTCAGTGCTAGGAAGTCACGTTAGGGAATACAGGACTGCCATGCCCTGTAGTAATATTTCAGTTCTCATTAGGAAGACAGAGTGTCTTCTGGTGCCTTATTCTCCCATTGTCCCGTAGTAAGTTTTGATCATGTAGGATGCATGCTGGACGTCCCCTAAGTAACGTCCACATCAGTTGAGCTCAGTCTACATCAGTTGTCAGAGACTCAGGTGTTTCTGTGATGCTGGCTTGAAACCTGGCACCTCACTTAAGTCTTTAAAACATGTTCTTTCCCATCATAATTATTTTAAATTTGAGAGTGAAGTGATTAGCAGTGGTCAGGAGAAAGTATTCTGTTTAATTGTGAAACACGCTCAGCTTCTCTTGCCTGAGTTGATGTATCAAGATCCCAAAGACAATTGAGATAAAATGAAATAAGCATGTATTTTTTTAAATATTTACTTTTAGCATTTATCTAGTTTAGTGTCAGTTGAATATCATTTTAGTTTGACTTATTCAGTTTCTTTTCATTATCAGTAACAAAATAGTAATTATACACTATTTAACGTGATAATTTCCTTTTCAGTTTCCCTATTGTGTTTACAAAAAAATCTTCCAAACCTTTATTAGACAGTGCTTACATTAGTATTCATGACTATTTTCTCACACAAATACTCATTAAAGTTGTTGATCAGTTTGTAGGGAACTCCTGTGTATGACATTCAGACTCATCAGGGAGACAGCTGGAAGAACTGGAATGTTCTGGAGATAGCAGAAGGAATACACATTGTTGACTCTCATGAAATTGTTTATTTCCCTTTGTTCTGCAGATGCAGAGTACTATTCGAGAACACAGAGATGGTGGGAATGCTGGTGGCATTTTCAACAGATACAATGTCATTCGGGTAAGTTTGTAAAGTTTTATGGTAAAATTGGATTGCAAAATAATCTAGACAATGAAAAGCATTGTAGGAATTTTGGAGAAAATTTCAAATTGTCAAAAATAATCATCTATTGTCCTGAAATCAGCTGTTGTTCGCTTCACTGTAACGTCTAACCCTCAAAACCAAACTGGGACAAACACTGAGACCCTGAGAACAACAAAGCTCCTAATAAAAGGCCGTGGGTCATACGGTAGCTGGTGTCCCTGCCACAGATGTCCCAGCCTGTATCTTCAAATTTGGACACACAATAGCAGTAACTTTTTGTTTTAAATCATTTGAAAGGAGCATTTATTAAAGGCCTGGATTGTCTGTCTACTTGTAATTGATGAGATCAGAATACATTTGTCACAGAAAAGAACTGTGTGGCCATTACCTGCTTTTTCAGAGCCTATCATGAAGGTAAATTAAATTGTTGAGAATTGGCTTAGTACTTTCTTAATAAACTCACAAGAATTGTCCTGGTGTACATCCAAATAAGCCATAAAAGATTTTGTTGTTTGTCTAGTACAAAATAGAGGTGGCTGAGGAAATGGCTTAGTGGATAAAGTGTCCTCTGTACAAACTTGAGGGAGCCAAGTTAGAATTTCCAGCAGCTATGTGAAGACTAGGTGTGGTGGGGTGCACCCTTATCTCCACTCAGAGGAGACAGGAGGATCCCAGAAGCTCATTGGCCAGCTAGTCTAGCCAATAGTAAACTTCAGGGTCGGCGAGAGACCTGTCTCAAAAATAAGATGGAGAAAAATAAAGCAGGAGCTTATTGTTGATTTCTGTCTTCACAACTCATTGGGCACACACAAAACAGCAGTGAGATGCTAAATGACAAGAGCTGTAAAAACTATATCACTAAAAGCTAGCATATTAACTGAATTCCACTCACATGGTGACTTGTAGATGATGTATTCAACAAAACAAAGTTGACACCACCAAAGGGAAAACTAATTGACTGATTGTCATTTTAAATGAGACATTTACATTTAACTAGTAACAATGTTTCTTCCTTTATGAAGATTCAGAAAGTTGTGAACAAGAAACTGAGGGAGCGGTTCTGTCACAGACAAAAGGAGGTGTCTGAGGAGAATCACAACCATCACAATGAACGCATGCTGTTCCATGGTGAGTGCTGGTGCAGACTGCAGGTGTCGCCTGCACTTGGGGTCAATAATGTGGGACTGATTAAGTAACCTGTTGAAATGACGTGTTCCCACTTACTTGGTTGAAATAATTCCTAGTTTGCTAATGATTTGCATGTTGGCACAAGCTTTCCAAAAAGCATGTGCAGCGCAAATGCCTTTCTGATCTTCTGAACTCAAATTCCAACTTGAGCCACATGGGTTGTTTGTTTGTTTGTTTGTTTGCTTTGCTTTGCTTTGCTTTAATATTAGTGTGTTTGATGAAAATAGTATATAGCTAAGTGTTCAATGACTAACTTTTGCACCTTTATGTTTTAGGTTCTCCTTTCATTAATGCAATTATTCATAAAGGGTTTGATGAACGACACGCATATATTGGAGGGATGTTTGGAGCTGGGATTTACTTTGCTGAAAACTCCTCAAAAAGCAACCAGTATGTATATGGGATTGGAGGAGGAACGGGCTGCCCCACACACAAAGACCGGTCCTGTTACATTTGTCACAGGTAAGCGTCCTGCATTGGGGAGAATGGTTGTCACCCTAAACTAACACATTTGTTCAGCAGCTTCTGTTGAAGTTGCTTGTCAGCCTTTGCCCAAGAGTAATAATGACTGGAGTGCTGATAGCTGTGGTCCAACCCAGACACATGTACACTTGGAGTGGGTTGTAGTGAAACTCTGCACTTCAGTCCTTACTTCAGAGTCAGATCTAGAAAATGCTAAGAATGTTACTATAGCACAAAAGCTTTCTAACCATCATCATGTCTGAACTTACAAGTTTAAGTTACGGGACTAGACTCGAGTCTGCAGTGCTGATGATGCTAGTAATGTGACTTGTTTAGGTGGCTTAGTAATTCCTCTCGGAAGGTCCAACTTCAGAACAGCTTCGGAATTAACAACAAACAAATGAAGAATATCATCTTTCTTGTGGTTGTTTTGGGCTTTTTTGTTTTTGTTTTTTGGAATTTTTTTTTTCAAGACAGGGTTTCTCGGTGTATCAGATGGGCCTCAATCTCAGAGACCCTTCTGCCTCTGACTCCCGTTTGTTGAGGTTAAATGCATGCACCAACATCGCCTGACTGAATATCAGCTTCTTAAAATAAGATTTTGTAATTCAGAAGTTGTAGAAAATAACATTGAAGTGAGTGAAAAGCAGTATTTCTTTCCCCACCAATGAAAAACATTGAAAAGACTAGGATTTATTACATTTTTTGATTTTTATTCTTTGGCAATTTTATAGGTGTATACATTGTGTCCTGATCATATCCCACTTGTCCCAGCCCCCACCTCACGTTCCCTCCCGCCCTCATGTCTCCATGAGTTTGGTCATTCTCTCTGTCTGATTGAGTTACTGATGTGCATGAGTGTGGGGCTCAAACCGAAGTTGGGTAACCTACCATAACCACACCCCAAAGAGAAATAAACTTCCTCTCCCAGCAGCCCTCAGCCGCCTACAGCTCTGCTAGGTATGCAGCCTCATACTCCCATCTGTGCTGGGACATCAACCGGCTTGATCCAGTGCAGGTGATGAGCATGGCTGCTGTGACTTCATGAGTGCCCTGGTCATATCCTGTCCTAAGGCAGCATTTCACAGACGTCCTCTCCATCCTCTTGCTCTTCCATTGGTTCCATCCCTCTGCACAATGTTCCCTGAGCCTTGGGCAGGCTGATGGAGATGTCCCATTTAGGACTGAGCACTTACCAGTCACTTTCAGCACTCTGACCAGTTGTAAGTCTTCACTTCTCAAAACGCTTCCCTAAGGTTGAGAGCAGTACTAATAGACAGGTAGAATATAAACATGTAAGTGGCAACTTTATCCCATGTCCATTGAGCAAAACAACAATCCCCAGCCATGGACTTTTGGCTAAGTTTGCAGTGCCATACATTACTTTTTTGTTTGTTTGTTTTTTGTTTTTCAAGACAGGGTTTCTCTGTGACTTTGGAGGCTGTCCTGGAACTAGCTCTTGAACTAGTCTGGTCTTGAACTCACAGAGATCCGCCTGCCTCTGCCTCCCAAGTGCTGGGATTAAAGGCGTGTGCCACCACCGCCCGGCTCCCATGCATTGCTTTTTAAACTACTCAAATGTATTGTTTTTAGAAAGTTATATGAATTGTCCAGGCTGGCTTTGAGCTAGCCCAGGTTGGCCTTGGATTTGTAATTCCCATACTTCAGTTTCCTATATATACTAGTAAGGGTTAAGAAAGTAGAATGCTTGCCTGGAATGTGTAAGGCCCTGGCATAGATCACCAGCACCTCCAAAAAACAAGTACTAATAAATGCTAATTTTTCAAAAGACAAAAAAGTTAAGTCCCTCCAGTAACTTTAAGATAGGAAAATAGGCCAGAGTCTGAGAGATCAAGGGATTTAAAACTCCGCTGAGAGGAGACAAGACAGCATCTAAAGGGAATCGGGCCCTTGATCAAGGTGTCTGCTAGACTGAGAAGGAAAGAATGGACAAGGGAAGCCTCCCCTGCTGGAATAAGGAGGGGAAGTTTCTAATTCTCTATGCGCAGAGTTTAACACACTCCTTCTCCATGCCTCTGGCATCTCCTCAGGCCATGGGCTAAGGGCAGGTAAGTGAGGTGCTCCTCTTAGGCACAGAGTTGAAGAGGCACCAAAACTGGAGGAACCAAGCAAGGCTAGCAACAGTAGCCACACCTTGCCTCCTCTCATTGAGGCTAAAAGAAAAATGTGCAGCACTATCCCTGTTTCACATATACATGTATCAAAAGACCACACTGTGCCCTGTGAACATGCACACTTATATGCCTACAGAATTATTCTAATTTATGATAATTTGCTTACCACACATTTGTGTCATTAATTTTTATCTCTCATTTTAAGACAATTACATTAAATACTATTTCACTTGAAAAAAAAGAAAGTTATATAAATAAAGTATCTTGTGATTCAGTTAATACCTTAAAATTCCTTATAACTAGTACCCTTAAACTTATCTGCAGTTGTATTAGCTTTTAAACTAGTCATCTGCAACTCTAAGATGGACACCATATGCTCAGAGGGAAACTTTTCTCCATTAAGAGCACTGTGATTACAAACAAATTCCTGATATCTCAAAACATACCTCCTGTGGAGACAGAGTAAACCTAAAATGAACAGTAATGTAAACTTAACACATGTCTATGTGCTAGCCAGGATCTTAGAAAATGGAGCCTGAATGAAAGCATGCTGCTGGCATTTGATTGGCAAGGGCAGTCCCCAGAAAGCAGGAAGGGGGCAGAGCACACACAGTGATGAGCATGGGGAGCAAGCTGGTCACAGCTCCATTAGCAAGTGCAGTTAATTGCGCAGCCCATGAGATGCCTTCAGAGAAGCAGTAGAAACTGCTGTATCTCCGAACAGCGATGCTCGAGTGGAGAAAAGAAAGGAATTTTCTCTGCTGGCTCCTGTGTCATGTTTGCCAGCATTTGCCCCCAGGTGCTCATCCCTCTGCGTCTTAGCTGTTGCGCTGCATAATAGCACAAGTGTGAAGCAAGCCAGCTCCAGCGCCTGCTCACTTGGGTCTTTGTGCTCAGACTAGGTCCGCCCTGCAGACTAGGTCTGCTCCAGGAAGCAGAAAACAGGAGCTGAGGCCTGTCATGTGTTGTGTCGTGTAACAGACTGAGAATGCACAAATTCTACTGACAGCACACTACTGCCCTGGTGTTAAAGGTGGAGCTGAGAAAGCCTCTTTGGGGGCCAGAGAGATGACTGCGCAGCTAGGAACACTTGTTGCTCTTGCAGACTGCCTGGGCTCCAGCATTCACATGGTGGTGCATACATTTAGGCAAAATACTCATATAAGACCTTCCTGGTGTAGAATGGGGCCTTCTTTTTCCTATAAGACCTACAAGAAAATACAAGTGGTACCAAACCTCTACCCCAAAGGGTCACCAGTGGATCCAGCTGAAAAAGCAGCTAGACAGGACTCAGTCACGACACAGAGATCATACTCCATTACTACACAGTGTTTATATTTAACAGTGGGACTAGTTGTATTACTTAGTTAAAGGATTGGGCAATAATTATCTTGGGTTTTGTGTATATCCTTGTATCCTTGTCAAAGGCTCATCCCCTTCCTTGTAGTGCAAACACAGTTGTGCAAATGAATGCATGACTTTAGTCTATTAAATTATATTTATAAAACCAGGTGCTGGCTAGTTTTAAACCAATGGCTATAGCATATAATTTCCATCCAACCAGTTTTTCTAATCCTGTGCAATATTAAAATCTGCCTCAGTTTCAACATTAGATTTTCAGTCATATATTTAAGCTAGTTGTTTTTGGTTTTTCAAGACAGGGTTTCTTTGTATAGCCCTGGCTGTCCTAGAACTCAAATCTGTAGGTCAGGCTGCCCTCACACTCACAGTAATTTGCCTGCCTCCGCCTTCCACGTGCTGGGATTAAAGGCATGAACCACCACTGCCCAGCTAAACTATGTATTTTTGTTCATATTCTACTTTTATTATTACTGTTTACCCATAATGAGTCCAGCCTAATCTTGTCTGGGGAGATGTCTCGGGGTAAAAGCATCTGCCAGGCAGAATCCGCATAATCTGTGTAAAGTGCATAGCATGAGTGTTTATAAGCCCAGCACTACCTCAGAATCCCTGGGGCTCTGAAGTCAGTCAGCCATTACACAGCCATTCCAGGCAAAAGCATTGAAGAAACTGTCTCCCGCAGTAGACGGCGAAAAGCAGCATGGGAGGTTGTCCCTCCCTCTGTGCATGCCACATGTGCACACACACACACACACACACACACACACATACCCCCCACACACACACACATACACACACACCACACACACACACACGCGCACACACACACGCACCACACACACACCCCACACACACACATACCCCACACACACACACCACACACACATACCCCACATAGCGCATACACACACCACACACACACACATACCCCACACACACACACACCACACACACACACATACCCCACACACGCGCACACACACACACCACACACACATACCACACACACGCGCACACACACATAGCTCACACGCACCATTGTTAATCTCTCGGTACTGTTCCCGCCTGGTTCCTTTCTGCTGTGCATTCATGGGAAAACTCAACTTTACTTAGTGTATCTTTTTGTGCTTGACACAGCTCGTGCCCGGTATTTTCTATGTTAGATTCCTACACTACTCCAAAACTGCCGTAAACTGTTGATCTAACTAGATATTGACAAGCCTGATAATAGTATATCAAATTTTATCCCATTACTACACACAAACTTGAGAGTAGCATTTAAATTAGCTTACATTGTGTGAATTTTTCCTTTTTAAAAAAGCTAATAAACCTAACAGTTAGATTTAAAGTATTGTTTTATTTTTCCTTAGACAAATGCTTTTCTGTAGAGTGACCCTTGGGAAGTCCTTTCTGCAATTCAGCACCATGAAAATGGCCCACGCTCCTCCAGGACATCATTCGGTCATTGGTAGACCAAGTGTCAATGGGCTGGCATATGCTGAGTATGTCATCTACAGAGGAGAACAGGTATGTTACTCATCACATCAGCATGAGCAAGTCACTAAGCCACCCTTACAGAGGCAGAAGCCGTATTGAAGACAACATCTACATTTGTTGCAGGCACAGGGTGTCTTTGAGTGGATCTGCTTGCCATAGGCTGCTTGTTTGAACTTCCCTTATTATTCTGATCATAGCCCTTCAGCCTTGAGATTACAGTCCATTTAATTCTGCCACCTTCTTTAGGCTCCAGGATGAAACTGGAAAAAGAATGGAAATGTATGATGAGAAAAATGCATGTGTACATAAATAAACATTCTAGAGTTTCAAACCAGCCCTCAATTCCCAGCACTGAATGTCACCCAATTTGCCTGCATGCAAAAGTCAGTTTTTCTAACCTTAGTTAAAAACCATAAATAGCCTGTAGTAGAAGAAAAAAAGTAACTACATAGAGATAATGTATAAAAGTAATTTTTTTTCTGTGTGCTGCTGTCTTGAGCAGAGTAGGGGGAAGAATTGCAAAAATTCTTGAACTCCTTTTTATTAAGTTTGCTTATGTAATATAGGTAAAATATCAGAACTTTGTTAGGTACATTACAGGGTTGAACAAGAGTAAATGCATAGATATATTAACTTTTGGGAACTATGGTTCTTCCTATAGAAGAAGGGCATATCAGAAGGAATGAGAAAAAGGTTAAAAGCACATGAATGCACATGAATGTACTGAAGTTGCATTCATTAATTAATAGGAATTTGTGGTTTCTAACAAATGTATCAATAGATGTTTGTACATGTATGTATGTTTAGGTCTATATATAAATATAAGTATGTATATATTTAACTACTGAAAGCAAAGACACCACCCTGATAGCAATGAAAAGCTAGAGCCCAATCCCTCAAACCATTCCTGGCTAGAAGGAACCAGGGTTAGAACAGAATAGGTACAAGATAAACCTAAAATAGCTGGTTATATCAGAAAGTAGTGATGTCTCAGAAAGGAAAATGCACAGGGACCTAAAAGCCATTGAGGGAGCCTCCTTTGGCCAAGTCTGAGAAATCTGTATGCCAAATTAAATGCAGTACTGAATTTGGGAAGCAAAATAAATAAGGATCTGTTACTCTTCCCTAGTGAGTGAGAAACGGAATTTCTTGGGTTATGGTAAAACACCATAAGTAGAAGTGGGAGGATTGCTGGAGCTAGAAAAATTCCAACTTGCAAACCATCACAGTAAAAATGACCTCGAGCAAGAATGGATGCTGAATACAGAGAGTAATTTCCCTGAGAAGAATATTGGCACTAATCATCCACTAAGGAAAGAGGGAAGTGCCTTGACCAGCTAATCAAAATTGAGGGACAAGTGGTTGAGACGGGGCATCGTAGCCTGGAGACCAGACAGGGAGGCATACAAGCGACCCTGACTTTAAAGTGAAAAACTAAACTTGGTAACTACGTAGAGCCGCCTCCTAAAGGCATTTTTAAGAGTGGTGGAACAAATGTGTTGAGGAAAATGTTGGAGTGCCGTGATGAAATGAAACGCACGTGGCATTTTGCTGGGAGAAGGCTGTTCTGTAACAGTGGCCTCCCTGAAGGTCAGGCTCGTCAACCTCAGTGTCTGCAGTGTCTGCTCACATCATTTCCCATGAACAGCTTCTGAGTGTAGGCAGTTTCCCTGTCCCTGACTGTTTGTTCTCCCTAGTTATAAAATTACACTTGATTCCTAATGCCTAGCACTTTCCAGAACACGTGACTGTTTTAGTCGGGGGATATTATGGATGGGATTTTTGTAAGAGCTGAAAGTATACTGAAGTTAATGTATGCCTGAAGGAAAACTGGCTTTGATTATAACATAGTTAGAGTTAAAATATCAGGAGAGGCTGGTTTGTGGTTCCATGGTAGAACACTTGCCTCCATGTACAGGCCCTGGATGCACTCTCCAACACTTGGGATGGGGAGAAGAGGAATAACTGTATGTTTCACTTTTACACCCTGGATCAGATGTGAAGAGAAATGTTCTCTGGTTATTGGTTGCTATGGAGGTTTTGTCTGTTTTACTGAAATGATATGTACAATGCTGGCTTATGGAAAATGGGGAAGAAAATGCTGTGGTAAGAAGAAAGACTGTACAGATAATTTTATGGATGGCGGGATTTATGCACGTTTATGTAGCCCAACCTCTGAGTGATTAAGGCTCAACTGCTGTACTTAAAAGGGGATGAATTATTTGCCTTCTTGACCTTTCCAGGCATATCCAGAATATCTCATCACCTACCAGATCATGAAGCCAGAAGCCCCTTCACAGACGGCAACAGCTGCAGAGCAGAAGACCTAGTGACTGCCTGGTGAAGGCCAGAGTTGAGTCAAACCTGCAACTGGATTACAGTGGATTGCTTCCAACAAAAAACCACTATTGTATGAACCCAACAGCCAAGAACTAAGCTGTTTGTCTTTTAGAAAGCATCACTAGAGTGACGATAAGAATGAATGAGTGAGTGAGCGGACTCACCTGCCACTGTTCCCTCTGAGGAAATGGTTACTGGGCGGCCTTGAACATGGCTCGGGCTCATTTTCTTGCGGTCACCCATGTCCAAAGCAGGATGCTTTGCTCGAGCCATGAAATGGGAAAAGAGGGCATTCACACACTACGTTTTCTTTGTTGTGTTTGCCACCTGCGTAGCAGATAGACAGTACATATATGATACATATGACTGGCTCGCTTTTTAATTTTGCCAAACATGCATTGTTGATGCTTCTCGTCGTCGTCGTCGTCGTTGTTGTTGTTGTTGTTACTTTGAGAATGGGCCAGTCTTCCTGGGATATTTTGCACACAGTCACACTGACTAAAGTCCTTAGCAATGCAACCAGAACTTGTAGCCTAGCAAGACACAGTTTCCACTTCTCTTGTTAGATTTTGTATCTCTGCTTCTTGTGAACATAAGAAAAGGCATCAAGACTAGTTTCCTTTTATAAACTGGTCCATTTTAAAAGAAAGGTCTCTGTGCTCTTTGCAGTCCTCGGGGTCTACTGGACCAGGGAGAGGTCTAAGGGAGGCAGGTATGACTTCTCTTCCTGGTGAGTGACTAGCAGGTTGTGATAAGGGACCCCAATAAGAAAGGGGATGAGTAAAAACAAGGCTTTGTGACTACAGCCAGGCAAACCCAGGGTTGTCTCCGAGTTAATCTGACCCTCCAGAATTGTCACCCCTGACATCACCCTCTGCTTCCAAAGTCAGGGACCTGTCGTTCTCCATTCAGGTCCCCAGCATTTTACTCGCCTCTTTATTAGTTTAGAAAGCCAGGATTCAACCCCAAGTAATAAGTATGCACAAATGCAAGGACCTTTTGTTTACTCCAGATTTGGCCTTTATTTTGAGTAGTATGCTTCAAATGGTTTACAGAGATCCCTTTTCTCAATTTTTGAACCATTTCTTCAAAGTTCTTAATATATTTAGACAAGGAAAACGTAAATTGAAACCAAAGGCTCTTTGACTTATTTTTTTAAATGCCACTGATAGAGAAATGTCTCTTTGTGAAAGTACTGCTTGTTGTAGTAGCATTGGCCAAGTGTGCGTGACATTGAGCAGAACCGTGCTTCCTTCTGATGCCCTGTGGACCTAAGTGACGATTGAATTGAACGCATCGCTTTATTTAGGTTCATGCTGCGCATCTGTCCACCCAGCTGTGAAGCAAAGGTCATGTTAACATAGAGGGAAAACAGTGTGACACACCCATTTCAACCGGAAGTCCTGAAAACTAGTAGTTGCTGGTTTTTTTTTGTTTTGTTTTGTTTTTTGTCTTTGTTTTTTTTTTTAATGTAAGTGTATTAAGCTGTGACTGCCTGCATTTCCCTGGCTCTCAAAATACACATTTCTTTTTTTTTAATTTATTTAATTTTTATTAGATTCAGCCCAATGGTAGAACTAGACATCCAGTCTAGGGTGAATTTTATAGCTACATCTTGCATGGGTTCCTCAAATTAAATCAAGAATTAGCCTCAGTTTTCACTTCTGTTGAAGTTCAGTGGCCTGAGCTGGGTGATTGTGTTTTTGACTATGTGTTTAATAGCAACTAGGGTTCCATATAAAGCTTCAAACTTTGATGTTGACTTAGAGAGCTTTCTCCTTCCTCCCCCCCCCCCCCCTCCAGCCCCAACTGTTAACAAATGTTGGAGAAATTGTCGTCTATATAGTTGTAGTAGCTACAGTGTATGTGTTATTTTCCCACCCCTGATCTAGTTGAAAATGCTAAACACTGCTGTGAGTTCAGTTAAGTAAAGGAGTGGTCTAAACATGGGAAGCCTTACAGCTTCTTTACAAGACGAACCACTGTCTGCTGCGTCATCTCCACTGCACTAGCTAGATTCACTTACCTTGAGAGGTTACCTGTGCTTCCCTAAACCACCCGCGCTGTGTCTGACGTTCTCTGTGCCAGGGAAAGACACTGTACAGGAAGACGTTTGCAGTGCTTGTGGTCTCATGATTAGTCACATATGACAGAATGCACATATATGATCTGTTTTAAAAGAGTGGGTCAGCAGAGCTAATAGGTATTTTTAGAACTTGGAAACCAAAGGCATCCAAGTGTATTCAAGTTGGCAAAAGAATTCCCTTGTTTAGCACTATGAAGAGCCCTCTGGAATATAAAGGCATGGCATGTGACTGAATTGTGTTTAGTGTCTGTGTGTGCGTTATTTAGAACCACTGCGGCTTCCCCACAGAGCTGCAGAGAAGCCAAGTGTCTCCAAGCCTCACGTCCAAGGGCTTTCCTAGAGACCTCGTGACCCAGTTTACCAGCTCTGGCCAGCTCCACACTCAACTCAGGCATAAATTCGGGACACTTGTCCTCTGCTTTCCTTCTGCTTCTCCCCAGATTGCTACTCTAGTGTCAGAAGTCACCCCTGCGCTTGGCCCCATTCACTCTCTCTCTTCCTTTCTTCATATTGGGTCTTACAGAAGGACTCCAGCTATCTGTAATTTCACATCAAAACCAGAACTGGGCTTAGTCCTCATCCACTTTCTGCTCAAAAGATCCTGCCAGTTTGCTGACAAATGACATTACGGAATCCAGTGTTTTCATTCTATGCAGAATAATAGCTGTACAGCCAGGATTCCTACTTTCCTTTCCCTTCTTGGTGGTTAGAACTCCAGGCAGGGTAGCAGAGAAACACCACTAACCTCTCATGGAAGCTCCTGGGGCTCCTCTGAGTGTCATGTTACTGACTACTCATTTCTCTTCGCTGTCAGAATAGCAAAGTGTGTTTGGAACATATAGAGAAGTACTTGACTATGGCAAGCTAATAAACCTACCTTAACATCTTACTATCTTAGGTATTATTTCAAACAATAATATTTTGGTTAATGCTAGAAAGCAGCATTAGAATGCAGTTAATTATCTAGGTTTTCCTCTATTTCAGTATATTCTCAGTTGCATGAAAGGTAATCAGACGTTGTTCCCGCTTCCCTTTTAAACATCCATTGTTTGGATTCCTCTAAATGGCCTTGTGTATTTTTAAGCCCATCTTCTCCCTATCCTGTCCCCCAGCCCTTGTACCCAGATCTTGTTTGTGAGACAGCTTTCTTACTATGTTTCCTGTTGTATGGAGTTAAAAACTTTAGAGTCATTCAGCAAATATTCAAAAATGACATTAAAATAGGTTTTCATGTATCAGAAATTAAAGACTGGTGTTTGGTGTCAAAACAATGACAAAGAAATGAGAGTAATTTTTAAAATAATATTTAAACTATCGCTAGCTATATCTAGCATATTAAAAAAATTTTTTTAGATACCACCCTAAAAAGTGAGGCTTCTTCTTCAGCCAACTTGTGCATTCTGCAGTTACCAGACTATGGCATTTTTCTTAAGACAGCCTATCTGTGGCAGAAAATTTCTTAACCTTTTCTATCCTAGCAGTGAAACATGAATCCATTTCTTAGTACTTGAAATGTGTCAGTGAGTGGGCATGTGTCTGTATTTCATACCTGGTGTGTTTTATGGAGGTGTATTTTATAAGTAATACTGCACACACAATGGAGCTGATGGAACCAGTCAGCTCCAGTTTCCCATGTGAAGTTCCTCCACCTCCAAGTCTTCCGGTTTGAAAGAACACTAGACAGATTTCCAAACCTGTGGACTTATGTGGGGGATTCATAGTATATGGTACCATGTAGAGTCTGAGTAGTGTGGAAGTTGCTTTTTAATCATTTTAACGTATAGACTATGATATGTTGAACTCAAAACCTGTAGGAAGTAAAATAAAGATTTTATATATTCTGTAAGATCCAGTGTGGTCATGGTGTGGCCAGTTTTACACTTCTGTCAGAGTTCTGCAAAATTGAGGTCACAGTCACACCATAGAGACAGTTTCATTTTGACCCTTCCATTCTTTCCAACTCTCCTCTGCTGTACACTTCCTATCTCCTCCCCCTTTATATCCTTTCAAAGATTTTTTTCCTCATCTTCCAGAATTGTTTGTCTACCCTTCTCAAGTACCCCTGAATGCTTCTTGTTAGCTCAAATTTGTTAACAGTCTCTCTGAACCCCTCCCAGTGTGCGGGAAGAAAAACTAGAAAATGTCACAGTAAAAGAAAAGAAGGAACTGAAATTTTTGAAGCTAGTAGCATAGACCTAGAAAGTAACCTTGCTGTATAATAAACATATTCACTACACAGAACACTTAAACTCTCCTTGTGTGTACAGTACCTGCTTCTGCTCCCAGTGTTTTATGCTCATCTTATCTTTGCAGTCATAATATTTGTCTTTGATACCTACAGAACTAAAAAGGTACTTTGATGGCAAGAACTCTCAAAAACATACTGAACCAGCTTTGAGGAAATTTAGCGTGTTCCTGGCAACAGCATTTGGAGTCATGATTGTGTTTCCTTACTGTGATGTTGGTCTGTGTAAATAAGCAGGGTAGTGGTCCTTGAGTCTGTAGTTAGTGTTCTGTTGTTCTTAGTCTCTGTGTAATTGCCAGTGACAGGGTTCCAGTCCCCCCTTGTTCCTTTTTGCATTTGCCCATCTGTAGGCTTGTCAGACAACATACAAGATGCCCAGTTAGATTTGAATTTCAGGCAAATTTTTAGCTCAAGTATATTTCATGCAATGTTTGACATATCTGTGCATTTTTTAAAATGTTCATTAACTTATCTGAAATTCAGATTTTGACTGAATAGTCTAGATTTTTGTTTTATTTGTAGTTTTTTTAAACCTAGTAGCCCTAGAAGTTTGATCACAAGGATTCCCTCAGCATGTAAATTCTCTGCTCTTTGTAGCTTCCACCTGAAATGGAAGATCTTTGTTTTCTCTCTCACACCTTCTACTTCTTTCTAAAAGAGGCATCAAGCAACTTAACCAGCCTACATGGTGAGTTTCTGTTTGAAACATCTCTGTGATTATATTTAACCTGTAATTGTGCTTTGGCTTAATGTCTAACTTACAGTACTTGTAACTGATTACTATTCAATAAAAAACATTTGAAAGTACACTCTGTGTATAGCATTCAACTTGTGTTTCCTTTCGTCCTGTGTTGTTCATGTCGGCTTGACCTAAAACTGTCAGAATTCATGTAACAATTCTCCTTCCCCCTCTTCCTAGTGAGATCCCAGATTGAAGGTCCTCATTACCTATGCATCCACATGGGCAGTGCAGAAAAAACCGCAAAAGCAGTAAGCCCACAGGAAGCTACGGAAACTCAGCAATAGCGGGAGAAATTCAGAAAAACCTCTTACACAGAGGGCCATGGTCTTCAGTGCCATAGGCCTCCCAGCCAGGAGGGTTGGAGGAGAATGGTTCTGTGCATGCCTGGGGAACAGTCAAGATCTCACACAGCTGAGCATAGTGTACTAACCTGCAGTCCCAGCACTTAGGATGCTGAGGCAGGAGGGTCACGAGTTTCAGGCAAGTCTGGTTTGCATGGTCTGACCTACCCACCTTGTCCCCACGAAGCAAAGAACTTTTCTATCTCCCGCCAATGCTCTTTCTCCAGCTACTGATCTTTAGGTAGCAAGTTTGAAGTTAGGTGTGCATCCATGCCTTCTCTACCAGGATTATCGGTTCAAAACATAAATTCCGTGCTCAGGAGCACTCCAGTCACCATGAACCTGTAAGATGCGCAGAGTGGTTTTTGAAAGGCAACTGGTAAAGAGTTCACCAAGGGCGCACACGGAGGAGGAATTTACTGATTGTCAGCTGACGGAGTGTGTGCACGTGCTCGTGTAACGGGAAGTTACTAGTGCTTACGGCCATTTCTGTGGGGCCCATATCCAGGGAAACTTCTTACTGGGTGGTAAATTTTACAGCAGTTGTTTCCCTTGAGACTGGCCATTTGTGTGTGGTGGCATGGGCCACTAGGGGTCAGGCTCTGAGTGGTCATGGCTTGGTAGTTAAAAGTCTAGAAATTTTGCTTTCAGTTTGGGGTTTTTTTTGTTGTTGTTGTTGTTTTGTTTTGGGTTTTGGGGGGAGTTTTTGGGGAGGTTAGTTTTGTTTATTGGGGTTGTTGTTTGCCAATTGTTTCTCTTCATGCTCTGTGTGTGTGTTGTCATTAACCAAACAACCCTGAAAATTCTTTTTAATCCCCATTTCACAGTTAAACTTGAAGGTAACCAGGCAAAAGTAATGTGTATCTAAGAATACCTTCCACTGCAGATCCTACATGTCAGCCGATGTATGCCGGCCCCTGATACACGTGATATTTAGATGATATTTAGATGCCCATGTAGGAGTGAAACACATCATTCATTTCATGATGTGTCATCGGTGTCATCATGAAGATAAGGTTCAAAATGGTCACAGCTCCCTGAGAGACTATTCTTTTGGTTCCTGTTAGAAAGTAGAGGCCATCAGAACTGTGCACCAGTGGCAGGTACAACATGGAGGAAACCGCTTGGAATTTCAACAGCTCAGGACATATACTTTTATAGCTCGATGGAAACGGGAAGGGAGGCAGAGATCAGTTTCTAGGACACAGGAGGGGGGAGTAAAGCACTTGCTGGGCTATTGTAAGGCCCTGATTGCTAACCCACAGGTCCCTGTAAAAGCAGTAGTAGTGTCTGGAATACAAGTGCTCAAGAGAAGACAGATGGAGACTGGTAAATCCCCAAAAGTTCACAGGGCAGCTGGAGGGAGAAAAAAACAAGAGACCCTGCCTCAAGGTAGAAGGCGGAGACCAACACTTGCGGTTGGCTTCTGTTTTAGCTCGGGGTTTTGTTGCTGTAAATAGACACCATGACCATGGCTACACTTGTAAAGGAAAACGTTTAGTTGGGCTGGCTTACAGTTTCAGTAGTTGAGTCCATTATCATGGTGGCAAGCATGATACTGTGCAGGCAGACATGGTACTTTGGAAGAAGCTGAGAGTTCTACATCTGGAACTGCAAGCAGCAGGAAGAGATTGCCACACTGGGCATGGCTTGAGCATCTGAGTCCTCAAAGCCTGCCCGTGCCCACTTTCATGCTAGCACTGGCCTCTTCGCTTGAACCATCCTTATCTCATCACCTCCTACACTCGGGGCAGTAGGTCCTCGCAGGAGAGACCCTCTATTACTTACTATTGGCCCTTTCTGACTGCTAGTCACCAGCCCTCTCACCGCTCAGAACATTGCTCGCTGAATGCTTGAGGTCCCAGGTCCTTCCTCCCCTCCCAAGTTATAACAGCAGGATGTGTTCCAATGAGAGTCCACAAAAGCAAAAATGGTTGAAAATGTATTTATTTTGTCTTCAAATGATCTTTTTCAAGCAATAAATAAAAACAGACATGTTTGACTCTTCTAAAAAACAAAAATCCCCTAAACTATGTACATTCTACAGAAATACAGGCATATCAAATGTAGAAATGACACCACTCAGAAAGATGGGGCTATTTACACAAGTTACAAGTATTGCATTGTTATCTTTCTGAAGTCTCTTGGATGATTCATGAGCTCTAAGGAAGGGCCGGGGCACTGGATGGAGGGATTCAAAACAGACACAAGACTTTCTCCATCTTTCTTGATGGAGACGAAGTTTAAGGAAATACATCAACACCCAGACACTATAATGAGCCCACTCACAATGATCCACAGATTGGGTCCCACGCAGGGGCTCCCCCGAAGAAACCACCTCGTCCCTCAGCCAGCTGTGGGTAGTGGGACCACACTGGCCCAGAAAAACAAAGGCCTGCTGTAGCTCGTTTCGCTTCCGTGGGAATTTATGTCACCATCCAGCAGCAATGGCATCTCCAAAACGGGCTGCACACCAAAAGCACACTGCAACACTGGATCCCACCCGCTCGTCCTGCTTTATTTGGTCAAGGGACGCGTATATGAGGATTGTAAAGGTTACCCAGGTGACTGTGATGGGCAACCAATATCAACTATTGTATCATTCCCCCATGTTCATGTCCTTGTCCCCGTCCCTTCCCTTGGGATTAACCCCCACTCTTCCCTCCCTCTTGCCCCCTGCCAAAGGGCTCTAAGTGACTTCTCACGGTTTCCCCAACCTTACTCCAGTAAGCCAAGCACAGGCAGCAGGGGAGAATGAAGGAGCTACAGCTGCTACCACCCGCTCACCTGTGCCTCAACCTTCAGACGCCGCCCCCCAAAAACACCCATGGGTGAGACAAGATTCCTGGGGAGAATTGGGAGTGTTCCTCATTCTCGGACAAACATTCAATGGCTTCTGCCATCCAAAAATGTCCCAACACTAGCAATCAGTTCATAGACAGGATGCTGCCTTTTGAAACTAATCATTTGGAATGACCCTGGGACAGGGTCTTCATTAGAGCTATTCCAAGCCATCAAAGAGGCTTCTAGTGAGAGAATAACTGTTTTTTAAGGTCCTCCTTTTTTTTTTTTCAATCAAACCAATGTCCTATTTTCTTTCTAAGAGTTTTGGGTCTCATGCTGTTATCAAGTACAAAGAAAATGACTTTATAAATAGCCCCCTGACATTGTCATAGAAGGCTTGAATTAAGAAGCAGGGGACAGACATCTGGAACTCCCACTGCCCGTGTGGTTGGGATTCAATCTGGGAACTAGGACACGTTTGGCAAACACACTCATCTAAAAAGCAAACGTTGTCTAAAGACTATCTGTCCTCCAGAAGCCCTTACATTCTTGGAACCCAGGACTTGTCTAGCTACAAAACTCATCTAATCTAAGTCTCCAGCAAATGTGAAGCAGCTGCCAGGAAGCAGGATAAAGTGTAGGACCATCCAACTAGGGTCCACCATCCGGGAGCTCAGCCCCTTCATGCCTTCAGTCAAGCAGCGGAATCAGGGAAGTAGGGCACCCCCTCCTTTTTCCAAAAACAGGAAGTGAAGACTCTGGACTCACCCAAAGGCAGAGTTTGACACAGGCCACCAATACTAGTCATGCCAACACAGGTTCACAGTTCGCGGAAGGAAATGTAATAAACCCGGACTATCTGGGATGTTGGATGAGGAAAGAGCATTCCACCATGATTGTGACATTGTGACTTCAAGTTATTTATGTGTGATTAAGAATGTTCACGGAGATCTAGACTTTCAAGGAGGGTGGGGGGACATGTTCTCATTCCCGACAAGCCTGCAGTGACTTCTAATACGGCACTCCACAATACTGTTCCCCAGGACAAGAGATGGAACATGCCCCCTTCCGCACTCCACCCCAAGCCTTCCTCACAGAAAACACTTAATCCTCCAAAACCATTCCTCCACTTGGAAAGGTTCCTTCAAAATGGCCTTAGCCCAGGCAGAACCCCAAATGGTCAAGTCAGCCAGGACTCACTGAAGAACAAGAGCCAGCCTTCACCCCACTGGTGTTCTCTCCCCTTTCCATACTTGAAGGAGCCCCAAATCATGGCAGATACTCACTTTATTCAATAGAGGGCCTCTGAAAGTATTCACTGTCAAACAGGGATTTAATAACAAGAATTTCTTGGTATACTTCAAGTAAATTCCTAAAACTGACAACTCCAATTATCACAGAGAGTGAGAGAGAATGGTACACTTCAGCGTACAAAATAATTCATTTTTCGTTCATCTTTAGCCTTGCCAAGTAATTCACTGCAGGAAAATCTGAATTGCACCCATAGTTTTCCAGGAGCACCTCTTAAAAAATGGCATTTATTACAGACCATATCCGAATCCTAGGCTCTAGCCACCACCAAATGGGTCACTGGAGAAAAAGCTTGCATGGCTGGGTCACTGTGTTCAGGAACCAGCTGTGAAAGTGACCAACCACAGACCTTTTCCCTGCACACTGCCCCGCCGGCTTCTGGGTGGCAACAATGGGGCGGCCATGCCGACTGGGAGAAGCCCAGACGACCACTCAGTTCCACGTTGCTGGCACACCTGTGTGTCCCTGTGCTACTGTGTGACTTCCGACAGAAATACATTCCAAATCCATGTCACCAGGCTCCTGCTCAGACATCTTGAAGAAGTTCTCAAATATTCATTAAGCACAACTATTCACTTGGCGACTAATTAGAAGTGAACACTGTGGCCTAGACGTATCTAGAACAAAATTCCTGTAAATACAATAGAAGAACAAGCACACAGCCAGGCACTTCCCGGCAAACTTGATTTCTGCTCTTCCCCTGTCCACTTAATAAAACTGGTTGAGCACATTTGCCAGGATCTGTGGGTTTCATAACTTCAAGCCTTACCGCTTTAAAAAAAAAAATGAGGTAAATTTCTACCTGCAAAGTAAAACCGACACATACACCAGTCTTCCCTGGCCAAAGACGCTGCCGTTATTGCTCTAGGTTGGAGTGTTTTGTTTGTTTGCTTTTAAGGTGTATTCGAAGTCGTTATTGCCATTCTAGCTGGCCCCGTGGTTAGCCAAGGAGAAATGGATGGGGGGGGCGGAGCTTGGTCACCTGCCCCACCCCACCCCCAACTTGCTGCCCGCATGTGACTTGTACATCCCTGGCTGGGGGCCGAACATCTGGACTTGGTGTTCAGAGGCCAGCCCTAACAGCTGGGGGACGTGGTGATGGGGCTGTGCAAGTACGGCAGGCTACTGGGGGCCGAGTGCACACCCACGGACACCGGGAAGCTGAAGACGAACTGCGAGGTGGGGGTGGGGGTGGCCTTTCCCCTCTCCCGCAGGGGCCCCGAGGGGCTAGCAGCCTCGGCAGCGCAGGACGTGGTGAGCACCTGAGACTCGAACTGCAGCAGCTGCCCCATGAAGCTGAAGTTGGGCGAGATGATACTCCGGCGCTGCTTGACGAACTCGAAGGCCTCCTCCAGCCGCACGCGCTTCTTCATCATCAGGTAGGCCAGGCAGATGGTGGCCGACCTGGAGATGCCCGCCTGGCAGTGGACCAGCACTCGGCCTCGGCAGTCCTTCACTGCATCTGGGGCAGAGGGGGGGACACGATCAGGGCCCTTGGCGGACATCGGGCACCGCCACCAGTGCATGTGGCGGAAGCCAGGACGCGGGAGCGGGGAAGACATGACACACGGGCGGAGGAGGGGCCACGCCCACGGAAAAGGGCAGCCCTGCCAGACTGAGGACCCACTCGAGTGTTTTTCTAGACTTAACAGCGAAGTATTTTGGAAGCACACAACCCGGGAAATCACACGGCAGAAGCGCTTAGACCAAAGAGTACAGTGACGACTCAGGTCTACTTTTGTCTTCCTCTCCATACGGAAAAAAGTCTTCCTTTGGACACATGTGAGACCGTGCAGCCGGGCATGGGTAATGGCTTCCAATTCCCACCACCCACAAGTGCCCCCTTGGAGGGGGGTACTTTGATTGGAATCCCTGCGGGCTCATGTACAGAGTGTTGCCGGTTTGGCTGTCTGGGAAGGCGTGAACCCTGGAAGGGCCGCCACGCTGGAGAAATAACGGGGTTAACTAGGGACAGGCTTTGAGGTCTGATAACCCGGCCCCACTTCCCAAGCTCCCTCTACTTCCCTACTGTGGGTGTAATGTGACAAGTGTGTCCTACTCCTGGCACCAGAGGATGGTGGACTACATCCTTCTTAACCTGCCAGCCAGAGTCAACTCCTCCCGCAAGTTGCTCTGTACCAAATACTTGTGACAGCTGTGACAGCAATACAGGGAGTGTCCTAGCCTGCACATAACCCCTGAAATCCCCACCCGCTGTTCCCTGAGGCTCCCCTCACCACCCTGAGGGAGGGAAGGTGGGTGGGTAGGCAGCCTACCGATGTACTCGATGGCTTCCATGAACCAGGAGCTGATGTCAGCCTTGTGGTTGTCTTCGACAGGGATGCACTTGTACTGGTAATGTCCTTCAAAGTGGTTGGGGCAGTCCGAGGACACATTGAGCAAGGCTGTGATCCCCAGGGCGTCAAGCATGTCCCTGCGGGCAGCATGGTAGGCACTGCCGAGGTAGAGGAAAGGAAGGATCTCCACAGGACCACCCTACACCAAAAGGAAACAAAGACCTCAGTGAAACGTTGAGTGTCTGCTTCTTCCTTCCCGGCTTGGGTTCAGTGGGACCCCAGTGGGCAGAGGCAAGGTGTGGCCAGGTCTCCTGGGCACCAGCCAGCGTCTCATGACAGCCGAGGCAGCACACTGAGCGTGGGGCACACTCAGTCACACCAGGAGTTTATTTACCCTGTTAATGAATTATTGAACTCTGCGTGTGTGTGTGTGTGTGTGTGTGTGTGTGTGTCGTGTGGTTTAGGGATCTGTTTGGTCTGCCGTGTCTACAATTAGCACAGAGAGATGTCTCAGACAAGAGGGGAGATCATGGCAGGCATGCTATGTGATCAGATGTATGGGCAGAAATGATGGACTCTGACTTCATCCCCAGGCCATCTGACTGGAAGGGTGGGTGGGCCTGGGCTTGAAGGAAATGTTGTGGCTCAAGCTGACTTTTTTAGGAGCATGACTGGCACTTGGAAGTTCACTGGTATAACCTGCTGGAAAATGAGGGAGAGCCTAGCGATTATCCCAAGGCCTCACCCTTTCTGAAATGATATCCTCAAGATCCCTATAAGATGGGCCTAAGCAGGCCCTTTCTCCTGTCCACTCAAATCTCTGGGGTCTAAAAGCCAGACATGATTGGTACATGTCTGTAATCCCAGTACAGGCTACAAAGGGAGACCCTGTCGCAAAACAAAATAGAGGCTAAGTCATAAGTATCTTTATGGTTCTTTTGTTTTTTTGTTTGTTTGTTTGGTTGGTTGGTTGGTTTGTCTTAACTGGGGATAACAAGAGAGATGGGAGAAATACACCTGACCTAAAATTCCACCAGGATACTTGGTGTTTACCACGCTGTCTTCACATTAGGGAGTAGTGTTTGACACCTGAAACTCAGAACTCTCGAGACAAAGTTCCTGCCCATTCTCCTGCACTGCACCTACCTGGTCGTGCAGTGGCGTCCCACAAGAGCTGCAGCCCAGGTCCAAGGACTCCGTGGCACTGGGGGGCACAGGCGGTGGGATGGCTGCCAGGCTCTTGGTTTTAGAGCAGAATTCTGGGTACTCAGAAGAAAACCTCTCATAGCCACCTGCAAAAGAAAAGTGGTTCCGGTTAGTGGAGCCACTGAGCCAAGAGAGGCACAAGGAGAGCTGTTGGCTCATGTGTGCCAATAGGTGGCGCTGTGGGTCCAGAGATAGTGGCTGCCTAACATTTCTCAGAAAGGTTTGTTTGGTCAGAGGGCCTGATGGAGGATGGAAGGATGCTGGCGACTTCGTTAAAGGTTCAGTTTGAGATAAAAATCCACAAGGAAGATGTACGATATGCCAGAGGGACTCTCTAGGGTACCACGTGCAATGAGGGACCCATGAGCACTTAGGCAGCCAGTCAGTGTGCCCTGAGCCTGGTGAGGGTTCCCACCGGGTATCACGAGCATCAGCCCTTTCAGATGCGGGAAGGAATGGGGGAGGGGGGATTACGCGGACACAACAACGGGGTGGCTAAGAATACCTTGAACCCAACCCTTCGGAGTTTGGGTTGGAGCAGATACCAGCTGCACTGTGTCTACCAAAAGGACCACACACAAAAGGAAACCCGGCTTCCATCAAACCCTTCTGCCACACAGATTAGGGGCAAGAGAGGATTCTCTGACCTGAGTGTGGATGAGTCCTGCAAAGTTTATAAGCTCATCCTCTGTGGAAGGAAGGGTTTTGTAACAAAATGACAGTGCCAGTTATCTGGGACAGCTGGGTGCCGTCCCACAAGAGCCTGAGGGCAGCCACAAGGAGGGGCGGACAGCAGCTCTCATGTTCCAGCGGCCTCCAGGACTACACCACTTCAACACAGCCTACCTGTCAGGATCAACCACCCTCAGGGACAGATCCACACAGCTGGCTGAAGTGGTAGGCGGCTGAGCAGTGGCTAGCTCCTACCCTGCGTCTGGTCGGGCTCAAAGGCACCTCTGGCATTATGTCCTCCAGCTGTTTGTTGACAGTGACTGCCAAAGGGCTGGCATGTGACCAGTCAGTCCAGTGCTTGGCTCCTAAATCCCAACCCTAGAAAACTGCTTCCTGACAGAAAGGAGAAATCTCTTGGCCACATCACAAGGGCTTCCTCTCCGACCGGACGCTTTGCTTGCTCTCTGCTCGCTCCCTCCGGATACAAAAGGGTATCTCTGTGGTCAGAGTTCTTCCTGCTGAGTCACAGTGACCAGCCTCCAGAGGGGGGGAGCCTGCAGACCTGGTGCTGCCAGCCATGGATGTGTTTGTTTGTGGTCTCAGTGGCCAGAGCACCCCAGAGGCAGGGCGCCCCCCCACCCCCCGCCTCCCATCAGAAACCCTTTTTTGTTGAAAGCAAATCCACAGGGGTAGAGATGAAAATCTGAGGGATGAAGGAGCAATAAAGATCTGTCACCATGTGCCCTTCATCTCTGCCAAGAAGGTCAAGCTCATGGCCCCCGTTAGGGAAAGAGGCCTGGCTGAACTCCGCCATCAGCGAAGACCAATTGTCCCTCTGTGTACTTGTTTTCAATAAAAAAAAAAAAAAACTGTAAGCGTGAAGTTACCAGTGGCTCCTGACAAAAAGCCTGCCGCCCAGGAGACAGGATCGTCCATGCTCACCTAAAAATAAAGGTGGAGCAGCCCACTGGAACCCAGATTCCAAGGCACAACAAACAGCAGGACCCTCCAGACAGCACCTGAGGGACACACCCACCCATCCCATCATGGAAAGGGTACAAGGTCAAGGTCCAGCCCAGCCTGAAGATCCACAGAGGACACGGGCTCTGCAGACAGGTCAAGTCTCAGCCTTCCCTGTCATCCACTGTGCACCCCCCTACCGCCAGGCTCTAACCTCTGGGCCTCCTGGTCCCAGTGAGTAAGAAGTGCTTAACCTCCCCTGGCACCAGCCTCACCTGCCTGCGTGGGAGAGGAGCCGCTGGCTTTGGGGGGCTGTGACTGAGGACAAAATGAGGGGTGTGCAGAAGAAGGCAGACACAAGTGACTTGTCGCGAGGAAGACACCGTCAAGTCTTTGCCTCGCAGGCCATGCCTCTGTTGAGTCTCTGGATGATACCTGAACTAAAAACTGGATGCCCCACATGGGGGTACTTCCCATGTGCCAAGCGGCCCCCTAGGAAGCATGAAAGAGTTACACAGAATAGACAAAGGAAGCCACCTCGGGTCTCACAGGAAGGCTAAGGGCAGGGGCCAGCCAGTCTTGGTGACAGACTTGCCAGGGGCCTTTGCTGTCCATTCCACGGCCGTTCCCTTAGGAACTCTGCTGGCTTCCCCGGGTGGGCTGTACGGCTTGCCGAAAAAGAGATCCCAAAAAGTACGGCTGCTGGCCCTCTGCTCGTGTGCGGACCCGGGCGGGTGTTTCCAGTGAGCATCCGGGGACGTGACCCACACTTCAAAGAAGCAAACGGAGTAGCAGAATGTGTTGCCTTTGTTTTTAAAGTGTGTCAGTTTAAGGAATGTCCACTGGGGTATGTGTAACCCTCTGCATGATCACCATGTAAACCTAATGGACCTGGTTTTATTGAGACTGGCGGGGAGGGGGTCCCACCGTGTAGCCCAGGCTAGCCTCGAACTCTTCCTGCCTCAATCACCAAGTGCTGGGATTACTGGTATGAGCCACCTGGGATCCAGCAGCGCGGTGTTACTTCTTACAGCGTGTAGGGAAAGCTACCTGAAAAGATCTTCCCATCAGGCCCTGCTAGCGATGCCAGTCTTTGTACAAGTACCATATGGCAGCCGCCTTTGGAGTAAAGAGCCAGTTTTATCCAAAACGTATTCTACCACGTACTAAAGGGCCAGGCTTCCCCTGCACATGTCCAAGAAAAGTGGAATCCAAGCATGAGAGCATATACCTCGTCAGTCTGGCTATATCCGAAGCGCTGGGCATCTTTTAAATAAAACGTCCTAACAAGTCAATGAATTTCTACCTGTTTTTCCTATGTCCTGTTGAATGTAATTGCCTGACGGATTTCTTAAGTCTTCATTTATTTGAGAATACACTTCCTAAGGCTGGGGGTGTAGTTACTAAGCAAATGTAAAGCAACAAGCTGGGTTCCTTCCACTAAGGAAAAACTAAAAATAAAGAACCTATTTCCCGTGCTTCTTGTCTTCCAACCTGTAAGTCAGCAATGGAATATTAGGCATGGCCTTCATGGGGCTAGCTTGAATAGCAGCTACGTCCCCAGTTAGCGCCATGACCTTCCCAATTCTTTTACACTCAAAGCATTTCAGAGTATAAATCAGGAACACGGGGCCTCCTAGTCATAAATTCTCCACTCCAGTTGGCTGCCGGCCCTGCAGGGGTGGAGCTAATAACCATAATAGAATTCCTAGAGGGGATCTTAATGCCACTTTCCCCTATCATCCTGTCAATCAATATTCAGAATACCACCTGAGCCTGGGGCTTGCTCTGGCCCCAGAGAGGAAGTCTAGGTTGTCTCAAGGTCATAGGCCTTTGGGAACCTCACTTTAACTGAGCAGTCTTCAGACTGTCCCTACCTAAGCGGGCTTCTGATCTTGTGGTTCCCAAGTCAGAGAGAGCCTGTCCTTCCAGCTGGCTGAGCCCCCTAAGGCCTTGGCTTCCAGGCTAGCTCTTCTTCCAAGTCCTCCCCTGTCCTCCCACACTATCTGCTGTGGCCAGCAGGCTGGCCTGTTACAGAGTGACCTGTCTTCCGGCCACTTTCCCTATGCCAGGAACTGTCTCTCTCAGTAAGGAGAGCAGCTATCCAGTTTTACAGGTTCTGAGTATCTGCAGGAATTTCTTGGCTCTTTAATGACTGCCTTTTCCTACAAGATAAGAAGCTCTGATGATCTCGAAGATCAAGGAGAAACTCCATGGATGCCTCTGACCTGTCTTGAGTTACCTTTCTTGTCTGCATTGTAATTAAGCCATTAAGGCTTGGAATTCTTGCTTAAGACCTATCACTTTTATAATTCTAACACTCCCCATCTTTGCCTCTGGGACACTGTGTTATATTTACAAACAGAAAAGGCCAGCTGTTCTCCCTCTGGGTATAAAAGGTTGGAAACGTAGGCTATGCCCTGGGATGGCACTGGGAAAACTGGAGATGAGAACAGAGAGGAGACAAGCAGGCACCAGCAGAGGTCCTGGGTGAAGAACAACCCCCCTCCCCCCCCCCCCCACTCAAGTCAGGGTCGGGTCAAAGACCTGAGGGTGAGTTTTAACCAAGAGGGGAAAGTAGAATGTCAAATGACTAGCCCAGTCATTCAAATCAGCCCCCTGGATAATTCTGTTATGAAGTTTGAATAAGGACTGAGGTCAAGAGATAAATTCTAGATAGAAGGGAAGATTAAACTATTCGAAGAAGGTCCTGTGTGTGGAGCAGGCTAGTTAAGTTTGTAATCCAGCAGCCTCAGCCTCCAGGTTACTGAGATCACTGGGATCCAACACACCAGGATGAAATGGGGGGGGAGTGTGTGTGTGCGTGTGTGTGTGTGTGTGTGTGTGTGTGTGTGTGTTAGATTAATGTGTGACACTTGGGATATTGGCAGGAAAGAATTATTGCTATCAGGGTAAGAAATTTCTTCTGTCTTTTAAAAACCAGGCTTTTCTAAAACCCATAACCCAAACATTTACAGAAAGACTCTGAAAGATGCATCCTGAGATAAAAATCTGAAAAACTTACTTTTAGTAACTGTCCCTAAAGTGCCTTAAGGGATTTTTTTTTTCCTTTTTGGTTTTTGGAGACAGAGTTTCTCTATGAAAGAGTCCTGGCTGTCCTGGAACTCACTCTATAGACCAGACTGGCCTTGAATTCACAGAGATCCTACTGTCTCTGCCTCCAGAGTGCTGGAATTAAAGGCATGCACCACCACTGCCCAGCGCCTTATAGGATTTTAAGTTAAAGCATTTCCCATGATTTTACTAGCAGAAAGGAAACATAAAAGATTACTTTTAGCAAACCTCGATCAATAGCAGCAAATATACAAGAGTAACAATACTCCAGTGAAGTTTAACTCCTGCGTTTGAACCCTTGCTTGTGAAAATCCACTGTTAACTACCGGCAATAGTAACCAATCATCCTGTTACGTGACAAAAAAAAAAAATCAGAAAACTGAGGTTTCTTTAAAGGCCACTAACTGGGGGTAATCAACAACAAATTGATGGGCTGCTTTGGCCAGAAAGGACGCCATTTCTCTCCATCCCAAGGATGGCAGGCACACACCATTTCTCCCTCCCACTGTCCGTCCCCTTCGCTCTACGTGCAGGAGACCCTGGTTACCCCAGCTGTGCCAAATTATCCCCTTAACAACTAAGGACAAACCTCCCGGCCTTCATATCAGGTCTGAGCCATGATTCTCTCCCACCAAGCCATATCTTCCAGGCTGGCACCCGGGGGATGGGGGTGGGGGTTAGTCCCCATGACTGTTCCTTCCTACAGCAGACATTTTCTTGCTACCCTCTCTACCAAGGCCAGTCAATAACTAGCAGAGGGAGGAAGAGGGACTAGCTCCTGGCTGGGTATGTACATCCACATTAACTATGGCTGGCAGACAGATGTTCTGCTACCTCTACAGAACAAGAGGCAACAAACATTTCCCCCACCCTCGTTTTAGGCTCTCGCTCCCAAGGGCAGCATGCTGAACTTCTGGCTAGGGGCGGTGATGAAGTTGGGGTAGCAGCTGTTCCTGAACATATGAGAACAAAGCAGTCCAGAAGACGTTGGCTTTTGAGGAGCAAGGGGTGATCCTCCCTGCCCAGTAAGGGCAAACGAAAAGGGAAGGAGACGGGAAGGCAGAGGTCAGTCAGTCAGTCAAACAAGGCTTGAAGAAAACGTCGCTTTCATTGGGCCAGGCATCTGGCCACCCGGAGGGAGGAGGACTGTCATTTTGCCCAGAGGCCACCTGTCCTATCCCGGTCTTACGTCAGTATTTGCCCTGAAGCGTTTTCAGAACTGGCCTGGCCTCAGGGTCTCCGGATCCCAATCAGGACCAGCAGAGCGCTGCGAGCCATGAGATTTAACCTTAAAAATATGCTTCCCTCCCTGCGGCCCGGAAGGAAGTCTTAAAGCGCTCGGGACGAGAGCCCACAGCTGCCTCTCCAGGGCCGTCCCCTACGGGTTTTTTCCAGGAAGAAAAACAAAACAATCCCTGACTCCACGTGGGGCTTAGAAGCTCCCGAAGCCAAAGTAGGAAGGTGTCGCCCGGCTTCCTCAACCCAAGGGCTGAGGAACACAGGACAGCCAGAGCTCAACTTCCACCCCAATAGTTTCACCTTTCCCACCCACGCGATCTCGACTCGGGGAGAGCAGGCAGGCTGGAACAATAGCACGCATGTGCAGCCTGGGGTGCAAGCAGGACCCCTCCGAGGGGACAACACGGGACCTGCGCCTGACCCGGGGCTCCGGGTACCCCGTGGGGCTCGTGTCTGACCGCTGGGCGATCGCGAGATCCGGGACGAGTCTTCCCGGCAGTCGCTTCTAACTAAAACGCTTTAGGGGGAAGCCTAAGAGACTAGGACTCCCCTGGAGGAGCAAAAGGCTGCCCTCGTGAAAAAAGAAAGAAAAGTCAGCAAAACCGCCTTAGCAGTTCAGGCTCAGGTCAACAGCAGCGTTTCCCCCAGCAGCTGACGGGTCAAATGGTCAGGAAACAACTGCAGAGAACAAAGCCCCCCGCTGTTCCGCAGGGCCAGCCCCGCTCACCCGCACGCAGCCGCTTCCCGGTGCTTTTCCGAGGGGACCGGAGCAAAAGGTTTCTCACCCAGCCTCCCTTCCTCGCCGTGGACAGGTTCCGGGAGGAAAAGTGTACAAAAGGGGCCGAAGAGCCTCGACAGGGGAAGGGGCGGCTCTTGGCAGGCGGAGATCCGAAATACCTCCCGGGTTCAAAAACGAAGACCCGACCCGCGCGAAAGAATGCGCGGAATGCGGCGGCCGGAGGTGAGGGCGCAGCGCGGCAGGGGGCGCCCGACCCCCGCGCTCGCCGCCCGTTCCGCAGCCGGAGGGCCCGCACAGCCGCCGGGCTGGCAGGTGCGGCGGCGGAGCCACCGGTGCCTTTCTCCAGGGACCCGGACAGTGTGCGATCTTTCGGAAGTGCCTGACTTCTGAATTTGAGAAGCCACCTTCTCTCGGGCCGCCTATTTAGGCCAGGGTTCGCTTCAGCCAGGCACGCGCCGCCAGCAGAGTCGAGAATGGTGTGTGAACAAAAGGTGGCGATTCTTCGCGGCCGGGATTAGCGGGAGGAGGCGCGCTTCTGCCTGGTGTCCCCCCAAAGCAGCACTCCAGTCTCCCCGCTCCGGGAGCCCGGGGCAGGAAGAGCTGGCCGCTTTCCAGAAAAGCTGAGTTGGGGCAGCGGGAGACAGATAACTCCCCGGCTCTGCAACCCAATTCTCCTTCCCGCATTTACCAAAGGCACGATGGTGTACGAACTCTCGAGGTGAACCTCGGCTTTCACCTTCCTTCACCCGGGTTCTCGGGGGTCACACCGAACCAATAGATCTCTCTTGTCCCCGGGGGACTTATTTTAAGAGTGCGTTCTCAGCACTCGAAGCCGGGCTGCGCAGAGCAATCGCTGCCAGCATCCAGGCCAGAACCGTTCTTGTCAATAAACACGTTAACTCTAGGGAGCGTGCGGATGGCAGGTGGCTGGAGAAACACGCCAGCACGCCCCCCACCACCCCCCGCCCCAGACTTGGGCTCAAAACCACGGCAACACCGTGCACACTGACACGCACGGGGACTCCCGCAGCCCCAAGTCACTCGGGTACTTCTTCCCATGCCCGGCAGGGCTCAGGCCGCTAAGTCCCTTTACACCCACCGACCCATCAGCTCGCGCCCGGGCGCGCGCGTTTACCTTTCAGCAGACAGATGTCGGTGCGCTCGGCGTTACGGCGCAGCGCCTGCACGACCAGCGACACGGTGCTGTCCTCGCGGAGGCTCTCGGCGCGCGGGCTGCGCTCGTCGTAGACGATAACGGCCGAGTAGAGGCCGGAGCGCAGGCGGGCGCGCACTTCTTCCTCGGCGGGCAGAATCTGCTCCAGGCTCACGGAGCCCTTGGCCCTCCGCCTCACGATGGTGTTGCAGCGCACGTTCACCGAGCCTCGGATGTAGCCCGCGCTGTGAGCCAGGAACGGTCTGCAGTCCAGCAGCAGGCACTTGCCGCTGCTCAGCAGCCCCAGGGCGCCGCCGTTCTCGTCTCGGTTCATCAGCCTCTTGAGCACGCTGCAGTCCATCTCCCGCAGTTCCTCCATCGTCACCATGTCGCCGGGAACCGCAGCAGCTGGGGAGCTGGGGGAGACCAAGGGTACCCGGGCCAACCAGGCTACAGGAAGGAGCAGGCGAGGGCTAAGAGGGCGCCTACCGAACTGGCCGCAAACTTGGCCCCAGCCTCTTCTCCCGGCACCCCTTCCTTCTCCCGCAGCCTCGACGTTACATAGCAGTCGGAGGCTTCTCCGGCTCCAGAGCAGGCAGGCGCGCGGCCCCCGGGGGAAAGTGGCCGAGGAGGGGAGTGTGTTTACGAGAGAGGGCTCCCCTCGGTTTGTCGCCTCTAGTGTGTTTGGCTAGCTCTGCTGCTCCTGCCGCCACCGGCTCGGGCGCCGCTGTTGCACGCACCACCCCGCCGGAGCTGCGCGCACTGCCCCAGTCAGAGTTTCCTCCTCGGGCTTAGAGATTTATTAATGCTCGCCGGCTCTCCCGCGGGAGGGAAGAGTCATTACTACCTCGCCAGGCCCCGCCTCCCCCCGCGCGAGCTCCCCGCCCAGCCCCGCCCCCACCCCAGCTCGTGAATGGAGGGCCGGCCCCCTCGCACCCAGTCACGGGAACCCGACGTCACAAAGAGAGGAGTAAACAGGGCGCTCGGTGCTCGCTGCCAGGCCCATTCATAAAACTGAGACCTAGAGGAAAAAGGAGGCAGCCTCCGACCCGCCCGCGAGCCCGCAGCTCCCGGACTTTGTGAATGGAGCCGCGGCGCGTCTCCCCGTCCTCCCTTAGCCCCGGAGTGCGCGCAGAGATGGTAGCGGGTAGCGACGCCGGCCTAACGGAGGCCGGGGCTCTCAGGCTGGAGGTCTTCACCCCTGCGATCTCCTCCCTCCCCTCCCCCGCCGCCGAGTCCTGCAGGTCTCGCTCTCGCAGCTCAGTGGACCCGAGCGCTGGGTGGCTGCCACTGCCACCCGCAGAGCCCGGGACCTCCTCTCGCAGGACTTAACCTTGCTCTTGGGGGTCCTGCCGGTTGTGCTTCGTTTTGTTTTTAATGCGATTCCCCAGACGTTGTATACATTAGCGTGATCGATTTCCATCCTGGCCTGTTATTTGAGTTTTATAGCTTCCCGTGGAACGTGGGCAAACCCTCCCCGTCTTAGAAGATGAAAGGAAAGGCCCTCGCGCCCAGTAACAAAAGAGAAGTGTGGAGTTTGTTACTTTACAACCCAGAGGGGGGCGTTAATTAGCCGAATGGATTGCCTGTGCTGGAGACCTGGGCCGCACTCCGGCCCAAGCTTCCTATAACGTGTTTAACCGTGGTTGGGGAGGGGAGAACACCCCGACGTTCCTCTTCGCAGGAAGTCCTCCCCTCCCTCTCGGTCACACGCGAACTGTCCTCTCAGGAAATGACTATTAGGGTCCACATTTGGTGCTAAGGAAGACGCCGGAAAGTGTCCATGCGAAGACTAACCTTTTGAACAAATTTAATAAGCTCAGAGGCCATTCGAGTTTCTGCAATCCCTCTTTCCAGGTCACGTAGTATCCGCACCCCGGTTTTACTTTGCTAGAGGCATTTAATTTCCCAAGGGCTTGCTTTTGGCAAGAGGGGAGGTTGTGCGCGCACACGGTGGGGACCTTACAGAAGCCGAAAATTATTCTGCCGAGATCCTGCCAAGTCTTGTTAGCAAGAATTAATCACCGAGCGAGGGAATTACGGGGTTCGCTCGCGGCCTTGGTGGCGGCAAGGACCAGTATTCCATTTCAGGTCACGGGTGGAAGAGGGCCGCCGAACCCTCACGGTCCCTTCTGCCCACTTCAGCCCTCCCTCTACCCTTACCCTCTGCTTTGTTCCCTGCAAAGCGGCGCGTCCCCAGCACCCATTGCCAAGGCCTTCTACCTACTCTTCCCTGGTGCACGCTGAAGTCCCCGACACCCGGATCTGGGTTCAGTGGGCTGGGGGGGGGGGGGGGGTGTTGCGTTGATCATCTGTGGAAATATTTCCATTTAGCATCGGGTTCCAAGATGGCACTGCAATGTTTCTGCCTTCAATTTTTAATTTTGTTCATGGATTTTTTTTTTCAGTTAAAGGGGCAAATTATTACGTATGAATGAATTTGTTGCTGCCATTTTTACTGACTCCCAATCGCACCTTAAATTTTGGTGCCTGGAGTGCGTAATCACACTAATCCGGGCTCCGGAAAAGCCACCACGATAGCAGACAGGCTGCCTGGGGCAGTGTCTCGGACACCGGTCACTGGGCTGGGAGGGCACCAGTGAGGAGGGCAAAGGGGGCTTGGTCCGGTTTCTCTGGCTGCGGGGGCGGGGGGTGACGGGGTGGGGGGAGCTGTGAGGACATCTAATGCTTCTCTCTCGCTAGCCCGCCCTTGGTGGCCCTGTCCTAGGCATCCGTGGTGCCTCGACAGTCAAGAGCCAGATTCGCTGGGGAGGGGGGGTCACTGCCAGAGCCAGATTCGCTGGGGAGGGGGGTCACTGCCGTTTACAAATCCAGCAAGCGGGTACCAGGCCTCAGCTCCCGGAGCAAGGAAACACACAGGCTGCTTTACAAAGCTTTTGACACAACGTTTCTCCAAAGAGTCCCAGTCCGAACCAGGTCTGGGGCGGATTTCACCCGAGTTACAGGAGTCGGGTGGGGGTGGTTGGTGGGTTGTTCCCAGGTGGCACTGGCCACGCACGGCTAGCCTTTGTCTCCCCTGCGCTAGGGGAGTCTCCCTCCCCCCGCCGGCCAGGCCGGAGCCCAGTGCTCACGTGGCCCGTAAATAACAGTCAAATCCGGGGGCGGGAGGGGGGATGCCCACGGAACAAAGGGCTGCTTTCTGCACCTGACAGTAATCCGTGCCGGAGAAACCCATAAATCACGTAGGCGAGTCACACGCAGGGGGTGCAGGCAGGCGCGTGTGAGTGTGTGTGTGTCCACGTGTGCGTGCCGGCGCCTGCGCGCCCGATTCTGGAGGGGGGACCTAGTACATTTAAGCTTAGAGAGGCTTTTGTTGAGAAGACGATGTTGAACAAAACAACAAAATCTCTTTCCCCCAGTTCAGGAATTGCCCTCAGCTATGCGACTGTCATCAAACGAGCCTTAAATGACAGCATTGTGTTTACCCGGATACTGTGCGAGCACCCTAGATAATTTTCTTAATGGAAGCGTGCGAGCCATTTGGTCCGCAGTTCAGTGAATACAACGTGAGGTCTACTCAATGCCGGTGGTAGGGAAGATCTAAAACTGGCCTTCCATTGGTCTGCAGGCTGAGGGGTGAGAAACAGTTTACACAGGAACTTCATGAGTCTGCTTGTCAATAAAATTCAAAAACAAAGGCATTTGGGGGAAGACAGAATGTCGTTTCAGAGTTAATTAGTTTAGGAGTATCTGTGCCGGGTGGGGGGTGTTGGGGTAGGATTGCCCAATTTACATCCAGCAGTAAACCTCGGGTGGAAATGCTTTTAAATTTTCACTTTGACATGTGAATCCAACGTCTCTTTCATCAGACAGTCCCTTAGACCGCCCTTTTTAGTCAGTGTCAGGCGCCAACAAATCCCTGTGCTTGTTTGCAAGCCTTTCTTTCTTCCAATTAGAAAGTTTTGTGATCTGGGGATTCACAGCCAGGAGTAGAATCCCCAGAGAAAACTGTGACTTCTATTCTGGTTTTGATACTAACCTCTGACTCACAGCCCTGTCCCAAAGTAACTGAATAAAACGTACGTTAAAAAAATCAGTGCTAAATGAGTAACTGAGGTTGTGGTGGATAGCTGGGTGGATCCCTGGCTTCCCGAGCCTTGCTCGGTGCTCCCAAAGGCACAGGAAGTATTCTTTTTACCTATTTGGGCTCTGATAGTAAAACACTGGCAAGACCTGGAGGCCAATTTAGGCTCAAAGCAGGAAAGTGACACCATAATGTGTCCTTAGGCAATACTGACAAACACTGAAATGTGTACCTCTCCTTCCCATCCACCTCTGACCCTCAAGCCAGAGTTCGAGGCCTTGGGACTCTTCAACACCAAGAAATGAACAAAAAAATTCACAAGCATGGCCTAAACAGAGCCTCGGTTCAGTTTATGAGATAGGGTTTTTCATGTAACCCAAGCTGACCTAAAACTTGCTGTGTAGATGAAGCTAGACTTGAATTCTTAATCCCACTGCCGTGCTATAAGACTACTGAAATAATGGATTCCAAAGAACCTAATTTTCCCCAGGAATCCCATGCTGGTGGAAGGAATAAGCCGATGCCCTAGTACCAGAATAAAACCTGACTTCTGGGAAGAGATCCCACTTTATCAGACCACTTTTTAGGACAGACTTGCAGCAGAGACCATGATAGAGACTTGGCCAGAACCATTAATTATGCATAACCCTTGCTCTCTGCTTGTAAACATAAACCTCTGTTAGTGTCTGGAAGACAGACTGGGTGGTACTGGGAAATCTATTTGTTCTTCCCAATGGGGCCACAGAGAATAAATCTATCCCTGCTGTCCCCTATTACCTGTCTCTTTGTTGGTATACTGGGGATGAGATGGCAGAGCCTAGTTTGTAAGGACTGTCAGAGTCCACCCTTTGTTTGTGGCTAAAACCTCCACAAACATTGCCTCCATTTCTGAAGTTCTGGGATTACAAACATGTGCCACCAAGTCCATTTTAAGGGTCATTTTAGAGCTGACTTTTGTCAGGTGAGTTTATCATCTTTTACTTTCTGTGGGTGGCATTGTACCACCTACTAATGGTTTAAAATGCCAGGTTTGCAGGGAGGTGCATTGTTGGAAAGTTTTTAGTGCATTGCTTCATTTACTATTTGATTTGATAATTATCCCCATCAAAGCTGTGCTCCCATAGTTAGCTCAGTGGCCTTGGGCAAGATGCTCTCCCTTAGCCAAAATTTCTTCACCCTGAAAATGAAGCTTGTGTAGGAGTTTCTTGTCTGTATGTTTCTATTCTGTGTTTCCAACCTTGTATGATATGATTCTGAGCAAAACTCACTCTTCAACCCTCCACAAAACCAAGCACACTACAGTGTCACACATGAATGATAATCCCTAGTTCCTGTCACTCCTTTAGGATATATACCTAAGAGCATATATCCTAAAGCTCATAGGTTTTCTTTATTTGAAACAGACATTAATGTCTCACACATTCTAATGAAACTTGGGGAGGGGGTGTTTTGTTTGTTGAAGTATGGTAGTGTGTGACCAATCTTAGAACACGGGATGTAGGAGGATTGGAGAGTTGGGGTGGGCTAGACTGGAGGGGGTTACATGGAAGACCATGCCTCGCCGGGCGTTGGTGGCACACGCCTTTAATCCCAGCACTCAAGAGGCAGAGGCAGGCAGATCTCTGTGAGTTCAAGGCCAGCCTGGTCTACAAAGCGAGTTCCAGGACAGCCTCCAAGACAATACAGAGAAACCCTGTCTCGAAAAACAAAAACAAAAAACAAAAAAGACCATGCCTCAGGGTTGGGGGGGGTTCAGGTTTTGAAAACGAATGGATGTGAACTCAGCCTCTTCTTGGTCATTCTAGCTGTGC